TCAGAGAGAGGTATCGGTAATGATGTCATATGTGAACGTTTGGAACTTTTTAGTTTAGAGCATCGCAGAAAATGTGCGTCGCTCATATTTTTATTCAAGTTAGTGAATAAGAGAGTTGACTGTCCTAAAATTCTTAAACAAATTAACTTCAATGTACCACGGCCAGCTTCCGATACCAATCCATTTTTAGACCTCTCAGAACAAGAACTAACATTATGCTCAATTCCCCAATATATGTTATGTGCACAAATTTCAATAGCATTTGTGCCTATGGTGATTTATTCTTCACTGACCTTCACAGCATTGACAAAATGGTTTAGACTTTCACGGCTGAGGTTTTCAGTGTCATTGCTTTTCGAGTTTGAAAGCCGTGAATTTTTGGAATTTCTTCCAAAAATCCACGGCTTTCAAACTCGAAAAGCAATGACAACAATGAAATGCTCCACATTATTAGAATTGCTAACATGTACTTGAAGTAGGTAAATAGAATTAGTTTTTCTTTTTTGTTCATTTTATTTTTCGTTTATGGTTAAGTATTGTGAATAAAATTTTATATTTTCCTGTAAATGGGTAACTGTTGGACAATAAAGCTATTATTATTCATGCAATAATGAATGTTTCAAGGTGGGAGTGAAAAATTATACGCATATGAAGGGTAAATAATTGTAATGTTATAAAGTTTGGCACAGTAAATGAAACAGGTTAATCAAATAAAACAATAATATAATATCAAGTACGTAAACTATCACATATGTGGTGGCTTTTTCAGATTTTTTTAAATTCTATTCAAATAGATTTTATATGCCTGAATCTTAACTGAATTAGTACCAGTATAGGGTACGGATTTTCCTTGTATGATTTTTTTCACACTTTTTCAAAAATTGTGGTGCAATATGGTTCTAATTGTAATTCTCAAAATCAAATCAATTACGCTTAATCTATGTTGATTATCACATGTTAAAAATTCAAAATCAACTTGTGCATTAACGATTTGTTTGATTAGAAGAACTAATATTCTTGAATGTGGTTGTCTATCAAAACAAAAGTGTATAATTTTATAGATATCATAAATATCATAAAATGAAAGTGTTGGGTAACAAAGCCTTTTAGCCCAGCCACCACCACATTCTCTAAAAGAGATGAGTCTATTTGCATCAGATTCATAATTGGTTGAAAACATTGTGTTTTTGCAATTCGAACATGTTTGATTTTTTTCAAAATGAAGCAAGCTACATAACTAGTGGACAACTCATTCAACTTTCCAGATAGGGAACTACTCTGATCAAGTGTTATATCTGGATATTATATAGTTTCAGTACCTAATATTACTGTCAGCATTATGTTCACAAAACAGTCCCTTCAAACAATTAAACAAGTTTTCACATCTGTCATTTTGACGATTGAATGAATTTCTGTGAAATTAAAGGGCTGTATTAAAAAGCACAGTTTTATAAATGCTTGTGAATTGGGAAGCTGAAGGATTGGTGTAAGGGGCTCCAAAGCTTCTCAATTGACCAAACATATTTTCAAGCTGATCCTGGTTCAGCCGTGTTGTTAACATATAATCAAAACCATTGGACTTCAGAATCTGACAAATATTCTTCACATTTTTTATGACAAATGACCAATTCATCAGGCTGGGAGGCTTTCTTTGATCTTTTTTCTCTAAAATTTCATTCCATCCAGCAGTAACAGGGCTGCTTCATTGCAAAAACGAAGGTGATCAGAGGTGTCACTTAAACCACACCATAATATTTTTCTTTTCTCTGTTTTTCTTTGAACCACTCAAAGAGTCAAATAAATGATCGAAAAAAAACTAGTAATTCAGATATGTACTTAGGTATGCTCCACAGGGGTTCCGATTTTGTTTGCAGAATCTGCAATAAAACAACAATAAATTTAATATAATGTTACGTTTTCCCCGTGGGTTGACCAATAATTAACTACACTGAATAATCAAACATAACTTTATTTCACTTTAAATACAACAAACACTTCAACTATTATTTTAATGTCTATCGCCTTACTAGATCACTTCGCTTACCGCACTGTAACGTCCACTTGACTGTGTCGATATCCTCCTGGCTAGCGTTTATATATCGTAATCGAATGCAGTAGAAATTTCGCCAAAGTTCCATCGAAAGCAGTATCATTATTCTCGCTGCTTCTAGAGCGGCACGGAACATTGTAAATTTTCGCGCTCTTAGTTACGTCACGATTGGTTTATGGCTACCAGTGGCGGCCGGGACGTTATTTTTTTTAGGGCATGACATACAACAATAAACATATTAATTTGTGATTCACTGTTTGGAACCTTTGGTATAGTAATGAATATTCCTGGAGTTTCTTCCCAACACCAAATCGTTATTTTTAACACCTCGACACGTGTTTCGATCACCAAGTGACTTAGATGCAGAGACTTAGACTGTCGGAAGACAGTGTGTGTTGCCTCTGTTTGGAAAATGATGAAACAGCAGAGCATATACTTTGTGCCTGCCCTGCTGGGGACCGAATCAGGTTCTTAGAGATCGGCAGAGCCGTACTCTTACCATCTGACCTGAAAGACCACTTACCATACAAACTAATCGGGTTCGTTAAGATGCTGGGATTATTTGGCAAAGTGTGAATAGGTGTGAGCCACAATAAACCCTTGCGGGTTGCGGTGGACGGTCGAATAGACCCACTCACTTTAGACCTAACCTAACCTAACCTGTTTGTAAAGAGCCACAGAGAGTAACTTTTCGTGAAGGGTAAAAAGCCTTAGTTTCTTGTACATTCTTGATTCTCGAAATTGCAATCGAATCAATATTCGGAATTCAGCTTTTCCATGTTATGCTCCAATTTATATTTATCCTTGAACGTTTCAGCTTCACGAAATCTTTTGCTAAAGATGATTCAGATGAAAGATGATTCAGTTTTTGCCAATTGATATTTTCGAAATCTTAATTAATTCAGTGATATATTATCACTTATAAAAAATATTGGCCAGAGAAGACAAATTTATAGCGTCTAATAATGCATTTTCCATACACTTTTCCTTTTCCGGCAAATCCAGATGTTGTGTCGCAACTTGAAAAACAATGCATAAATGCAAGGATATTTTTGCAAGATTCATATTAAAATCTATTAAACGTGAAAAATCTTTAACATTTCCAGAACCTGGCTTGAGAAAATAAATGTCATGATTATTTGAATTTTATTCAAATATCTTGACCCACAACAATGACAGTTTCATTTGTATCTCCGGCAACAAACCCTGAAAAGGAAAAATTGAACTACGGGAAAAAATAATCTATTTGTTCACCAGATACTACCAGGGGTACTTTTTTCGGCAGGTCTAAAATTACAGCTTTTTAAAGTTTTATTTTTGATTCCCAGCACCTTTCATAGCTTCATTAGGGTTAACGTACTTGTTGAAATAAAAATATTTCGAAACTGGGACATTTGCATGTTCCCTATTGCGTAAAAAAATTCAAAACAGAAAATCAGGTGCGAATAGATTAGTGTATATCAACACAGGTATCGAAAGTTTCCTTTTTTTACATTCGGGAGCTAAGTTGCAACTGTCGCATAATACTCCACAGTTCGATGTGGGATTTTCACTAACCAGTCTACAAAACTACAAACACGTTTTTTCTATACAATAGCTGAATAATTGAGATGACTGAATTATGATTACCAAAACAGAAGAACAGAAGTATTTACCATTACCACAGAATATCGGATGCAGACTATCGGATGTAGTTCCGATATTCTGTGCCATTACCTTGCCACCTCGATCTGATATCTGGCAATACTGCTTTGTTCCTTTGAACATAGAACATCTTTTTTTCATTGAATCAATATGAACTTTCTATTTCACATGAAATTTGGTGGAATTGTCATCCACTAATATTTCACAAGCCAATAAAAACCTATTTCAATTATCACCATGTCACATCTTTCAAGATTTTGATTACGTTTTATATCCTCAAAAAATGAAATTCCATTTGACTCCATCGACAGCTTTTGACAAATCTAAAAAACCGAACTGAAATGCGTTGAAATTACTTTGGACAGTAATTGGGATTCTTCATACCTTACGCCACTGCCGAAACGGAAACATGGAATCCGCCATATGTACATCAAATTCGGTCACACCCTCAGAGTAACAAATTGATTACTTTAAGGTCACACCAGAATGGACTTGGACAATTTGCTCCTTCCTGTAGTTTTATGTTCTAAGCTTTGCTCACATACAAAAATACAAATATCGAGAAATGTTGTGGTTGTGGAGCTGCTCAATATGATCCTTTCTGAAAAGCATTGTTTTTCAGAACCGTAGGTCTGTCGTATAATAAATTTGAGCCCATTGTCAACTCCTGAGTTTGTGCATTTTCAAGCAAACCATGAAAAATGCGGAGTCGTATCTGATAAAAATTCAGGCCTATGAGAATCATCAATTTTTCTCTGACGATTCGGTTATGGCTTGAATGTCAGACGATAGAGCCACAGTAGAATAATACAACCAGTAGTCTATCTTACCACGTGATCTGCCCGAGTTGCCGGAGACCTGCAACTGCTCTTAGGATGAGATTCTCATCCAACGCGGTCAGTGCTGTAGTATCGAAGGATTTGACGGTATCACGGACATCGGATTAGTTATAATAAACGGTCAGAAATTGATACGTTGCCCAGCTTATTCGCTGCTGTTAATATTTTTTTTAGGTTTTGTAGTTGGTTATAAGTAATTTAACACAAAATATTCTATAATAACCTTAAATTTCGTTTATATATGAGCGCACGCCTTTGGTTAAAGAACGAAATTGGCTCCTCACTTTGTTTCGAGGTCACCCAGAACTTTGGAATTTATGAATGAAAATAGTGAGAGTGGACTTACTGGTTGATTTTTACTATAATAGAGCTGTGACAATCCAGTTTCAAATAGTGCTCCCTATTAGTTTTAGTTACGGACTGGGCGGACTTAGTACCTTCAGCCATAAACTGAACAAGAAGAAGAGGTACAGATTGTTTGAGGTTAGTGACAGCATTTGGTTAAAATTAAGGTTATTTATGATTATTTGATTATTCTGATGGAAAAGAAAACAAAATGAACTTCTGGAACGTGAAAGACTTATCATTACCCCCAATCAATACATACAAATGTTCAAATAAAGACATAGGTGAGTTTATTTCCTTTTTGTTAAGTAAATTACTTCTTACAGAAATTATATTTTAGATCTGAATTACCTTCATGAAATATGTCAAGAACTCAAGGCCTTTCTCGAAAACAAATATATGCGAGCCGAATTCTTAGTGTTGTCAAGAATAATATATCGCATGAAACAAAAATTTCGATCTGCGAAGGACTTTAAGGCATTAGAGAAACTGAATAAAGCTTTAGAAATTCTTTTCAAATTGGATATTCAGAATGATGTTACAACATTCATGGAACTCATACCACCGAGATATAAGGATGAAACTTATTTACCAACTAAGAACATGTTAGACTATCTACTGGTTCGATTCCAAGGATTAACAAAATTGATGGAGCGTATTGTGGAAACTTGTAAAATCTCAGCTTTTTTATTAAGTATGAGAATGAAAACTGGACACTTTTGGAGGGTTGGCTTTATCAGTTTTGCTTTAGTATCGAGGGTGTATATTCTCGCAAAATTCAATACAAACCGAATCTGTGAGTTTTATAGGAAACTTCTACCTTTTTCTAATAAACTTCAAAATTTGGGTAAAAATTGGTTGCCCCTTGGATATATGTTACCAAAGGATCTTAAAGAATGGATGAATGTTTCCTGGTTGGACTTTGATGATGTGGTGCAGATAATTGAAACACCTGAAATTTCAGATATTATGAAGTTTTTTGATTTAGTTGAGAATGAAGATGATGATGTTGAATTTTGTGATGAATATATTATGATTGGTGATTCAGAAGTAGACAAATGTTTCAAAAATCTTCAAAAGCCAGTTTTACTCAATAGAAATATTGTGGGCCCAAAAGAATTTCGAGGTTTTAATTGTAATGAAGATATTGGAGAAATTATTGAAATAAAAGACCCTAAGGTAGTAAATGGTAACTGTGATATCTCAAATAATGAAAATGATGTTATATATTTATCTGACAATTCGGTGGAGTTTGTTGGTGGTCAAATAGAAAGGAAAAACAGGGATGAATTGAAAGTGATTCCTTCATTATCATCAACAAAAAAAATGAAAAAACAAAAAAATAGAAGGAAAAACAACGACAGTAGTCTAGCAGAAAATTTAATACATTTTGAAACTGATACAGATTGCATGCTAGTTTCAAATGAAACAAGAGAATATAATGTTGAAAACCAATTGTTTGTAAATAAAACTAAGACTGTTCAAACATCCAGTGAACAAAAAAATAATATTGATGTTAAAAAGAGGAAAAGTAAAATTAAACAAAACAGAAATGTCAAAAAAATAAAGCTAGATGTGGAGACTACAAGGAGAGAAAACAGTTTTCGAAATAAATCTGTTGATCTAGAAGACCCAATGAAAGTAAGAACGAGGATTGAAAAAGAGATTACTGGTAAACAATTAAAAAAGAACGATGTTGGAGGAATATCTGACATATCAGAATCAAACATAGAACAAAAGACAATAATCAAGAATGAATTGGAAACTATAAAGATTCCTGATATGCCATTAAGGAAAAAAGTTACATCAAAACTGAAGAAACAGAAAACTAGAAGAAAAAACAAAGAAAATTCCCAAACTGAAAATTCAATACATTTTGAAGCTGATACAAACGGCATGTTAGTGTTGAATAAGATAAAGGAATATAATAAAGAAGACAATATATTTTCAAGTGAAATCAAAACTGTTCAGACATCAAGTGAACAAAACAATAGTGTTGAAAAAAGAAAAAAGTATAAAATCCACAAAAATAAAAATGTAATGAAGATGAAATTAGATTTTGAGACTCCAGGAACAGAATACCCCAAACAAATTGATGTAGAAGACCTGATGAAAGTGAATCAGAGGATTGATCAAAAAGATATTATTAGTAAACATTTGGAAGAACATGTTGACATTAGTATAACACCTGACATATCAAAATTAAAAAAAGAACAGAAAACCAAAGCCAATAAGAACTTTTTGTCTCATAAAGTTAAGAAGAAACTGAAAAAATTAGATAAATATAAAAAAAGAATTATATGAAAATGTTAAAATATATATTTAATTTTGAATTATCTAGTGGTATTCTTTAACTTGTTCTTAGTTGTGGTCCTAATTGTTATAAAATAGGTATTGCCAATAGTTAAGATAATCATGATAATTATAGAATATAAATATGAATATTATACCTAACAATAAGTGAATTATGATGCATAAAACAATTTACATGCCTTCATATATATACATACAGGGCTATTCAAATTCGTTTCTGTACATGGGGATCTCGTAAACGATAAGAGATAGAGTGTCGGTTGAATTATGGCAAAGTTTTGTATTTTAGAGACCTATTCAATGATATAAAGAAATCGAATATAGCTCTTTTGGTTCTGAAGATATACTGGAAAAACAAAAAAATCCCAATTTATTTTTTGCCTATATCTTATTTATTTGCAGACATATTGAAAATCTATCCACATTTTGCTATTGGCACTTGATGTGGGCTCTCAGAATATATCCATGAATCTTTAATACAGGGTGTCATCTGACTTGGGCCACCGCCATCTTTGAATTTTTAAATACGGACCTGTAGTTTTTGGATCGTAGACGTTCTCTTCATACTGAGAAATTAAATTCAATTTTATATTTCGGGATTTTTCGGTGATATTCGATTATAATTGTGTGAATTATTCCCTTTTAAATTACGGCCCTAGAAATTGGTTGACTGAGTTGAATAAAAACACAATAGCAACTTTCACATCTCTCTATGTACCGTAGAGTTTTTTTTCATTTTTAGGTACCTATTCATATTTTTTCCATTGCTCTGAGCGTTTTGACAAATAATGGGACAATAAGATGGTCTGCAAGATCACCAGATCTTACTATTTTGGACTATTTTCTATGGAAGACATTGAAAAATAGGATTTACACTGGCAGATAGATAGAAAATGTGGAAGTCTCGAGATTGAGGATTTTGAATGATTTCGCTACAATGCAGCAAATAAGAGTATTAAGGACAATAAATAATATGAAAAACCGAGTTTGAAAATGTCTCGAAATGGAAGTTCATTGTAGAAAACGCTCAGAGCAATGGAAAAAATATGAATAGGAATCTAAAAATAAAAAAAGCTCTACAGTATATAGGGAGAAGTGAAAGTTGCTATTGTGTTTCTATTAAAATCAGTCAACCAATTTCCAGGGCGGTAATTTAAACATCCCGAGATATTCAATTTAATTTCTCAGTATGAACTGAACCTCGACGATACAAAAACTACACCAAAAAATACAGGTCTGTATTAAAAAATCCAAAGATGGGGGTGGCCCAAGTCAGATGACACCCTGTATAAAAGATTCATGGATATATTCTGAGAGCCCACATCAAGTGCCAATTGCAAAATGTGGACTGGATTTCAATATGTCTGCAAATGAAGAAGATATAGGCAAAAAAATATTTTGGGATTTTTTGGTTTTTACAGTATATCTCAAGAACCGAAAGAGCTATATTCGATTTCTTTACATCATTGAATAGGTCTCTAAAATACACAACTTTGCCATAATTTAACCAACACTCTATCTCTTATCGTTTACGAGATCCCCATGTACAGAAACGAATTTGAATCTCTAAATCTGTTTTTCCGTTAATCAGCTGTCCCCCCATACGAACGACAACTCTCAGAAGTTGAGAAACTTGTGCTTGATTTCAATTTGATAGTCATCAGTAGACAGCTGTTTCAGCCTATTGAGCATCGTGAGTACCGAACAGGCGGTTCTCGATTGAAGACAATATGTGACTGACCAACGTCTTCAGTTCAATCAGGTTGGAGCCCAACTCCCTTGCCCTTTCAGCTGATTTTTGTCGAAGAAGGACAAATGGGTTCATGACTGAGGGGATGTTGGCGGTATGAAGTCCTCAGACATCAGTACCGCCCTTCGCGGTGTACCCCTACCTGGCTGGGGTGGGATGGATGAAAAAACTTCGTCCGTTAACGGGGGACACGAGGGCCTCATTCAACAGTGTCGGGGCCTTCTATATCGGGAAGGGTCGTCTGCAGCATAGTCTATAGCTTCCCTAACTAACGTATTTTCGTGAGTTTCCGCACCTTCAAAAACTCGCCGATTCCTCGACTGAATGGACTGCCGAATGAAAGGCAGCTGTAAATCTCTGCGGATGGCTTCATTCCGCACAAACCAAGGAGCATTTACAATCATTCTAATCAACTTGTTTTGTAATCTCTCCAAGATGAAGATGTTGAACGGAGCCACTTGTCCCCAGACACCTGAAGCATACATGATGACAGACTTGAACATCGTATTGTAGATAGTAATTTTGTTTTTTAAACTTAATTTGGATCTTCTGTTGATCAGAGGGTACAGACTAGCTATCCGACGCTCGATCTTTGATTCAACGTACATGATGAAGACAATATGTGACCTGCTTGTCATCTTGATTTCTTCCAGGTTGGAGCCTTGCTCCCTTACCCTTTGAACTGGTAGACAATATGTGGCCTGCATGTTGTCTTGATTTCAGACAGGTTGGAGCCTGGCTCCCTTACCCTTTGAACTGATGTTTGCCAGAAGGACAAACCGGTCATAACTGATGGTGGGTGTTGATGGTATGGCGGCATGAGTGTCCTCAGACATCAGTACGGCCCTTCACGGTGTACCCCTGCCTGGCTGGGGTGAGTTGGATGAAAAAGTTGTTCATCTTTCAACGGAAGATATAGGGGCCTCATTCGACAGAGTGTCGGGGCCTTCGACCCTCGATCTTTGATTTGACGCTCGTTATGTGCGGGTTCCAAGTGAGCTTGCGGTCTATTAAAAGGCCGAGGTACTTTACTCGCGCTTGCCAGTCAATCTCCCTTCCAGAGATTCTCACTTTTCTGGCCGGAGAAGATTTCAGTCTTCCCATGGTTATTGCCTGAGTCTTATCCGGGTTCACTCGGATCTTCCAATCAAGTTACTAGCGCTCGAGGTCGTCCAATGCACGTTGCATATAGACGACGCCGAGCTCCCGACCCATGGAAGATGAGAGAAGAGCCGTGTCATCGGCGTACAGATATATCTTCACACTCTCGGGCCTCGGAAGGTCACTGGTGTAAAGTGAGTACAACGTCGGAGAGAGCACGGCCCCCTGTGGCACTCCAGCAAGGATATCTCTGTTATCAGACAGATCCCTCTACTCTAACCTGAAATGTCCTGTCTTTCAGGAAAGACCCGATCCACCGGACGAGGCCCCGAGGCAAGTCGAACGCGTTTAATTTGTGCAGAAAACCATCGTGCCAAACACGGTCGAAGGCCTTCGAGATATCTAATAGAACAATGTGCACTTTTTTGTTGGTGTTTAACTCGTGGATGGTGTTTTCGACAAGCCTTAGAGCCTGTAACTCAGTGGAGTGGTCTCTCCTGAAGCCAAATTGTTCATCAGGCAGAACATTTCGGTCCTCAACTTCTTCGCTGAGCCTTTGGAGAACAACTCTTTCAGCCAGCTTAGCCGCCGAAGAGAGTAGACTGATCGGGCGATAGTTCTGTGGGAACAGCGGGTTCTGGCCCTGTTTTGGGATCATGACGACGATCGCATGCTTCCACCTTCTGGGGAAGTGTCTGAGGGCCAACGAACTATTTATTATGTTTAGTAAGCACTCAACGCAGTTGTCCGGGAGCCTCTTCAACAACTTGTTAATTATTGAGTCGACCCCCGGTGCTTTCTTAGCCTTTGCGGCCCTGATATATCCCTTCAGCTCTTCCACAAAAGCTGGACGGATGTTGTCATCGTCATCTTCCCTGAGGAGTCGGTGAACCCGGTCTTCCAACATCATATCGCGATCGATGTCGTCTTCGTCGTCAACGTTAAGCTGAAACTAATGTTCCATCGAGTCAGCAAAGGCTAACGCTTTGTCGGCGGGGGAGTAGCATACTCCGTGCTCTCCGTGAATGGGTGCTCTCACCCATTCACGGATAGCAGTCTTTCTCCCCTTGAGCCTGCGAGTAACTCGCCAAAGCTCGTCACTCTCAGGATTCCAAAAGCTCTTCCCACCTTTCGTTTCGATGATCAATGATGGCCTGCTTGACTCGGTTGCCCATCCTATTTACCGCATTTTTATCCCCTGGGAAAAGGGTTCGCTGATAGAGCTTTCTCTCTAAGAGAGTTTATAATATCATATTCATGATATTATAAACTAGAAACACATGTATCATAAAAAAATATTTTGGGATCTAATAAAATATTTTCACACACTGAAAAATTTTGTAAAAGTCATTAATTAAATAACTGCTCCTCCCTTATTACTCAATTTATAAAAAAAATCATGACTATATATTTCGGGCGTCAATACGTCAGAATTATGAAGCCTGAAGATGCTGTCGTATAGCGAAACACGTGTCGCGGTTTCGTCAAGTTTCAAGTGGAAATCTTATATTGAAGTGTATTTTTTGAAAACGTTAATAAATAAATAAATATTTCATTAGCTACAGTATATATGTATTCTAACATTATCTTTTTTAGCTTCTGGGATCTGTAAAGTTCATTACAATTCATACTTGTGTTCTGTTCGGTGAATTGAATCAGGAGCAAGTTTTATATTCTCACTGCGTAATTTTTTCAGAATGATTCATATGTATCAAGGTGAACAATGACTTTTGTCACTTTGTTTATAGTTCTCAGGCTACACATGGCTAATGTACCGATTTCAACAATTTTATAGGGTGTTCATTTATTCTGTGGTAGTTCTTTAAGGAGTGTTGAGCAACACTAGACATTTCTGGTTTCCAATATCGAATATGTGATGTGTGTTTTTTGACACGGCGTTTAATATAGCTCCGCTAGTTATATTCTTAACCAGAAAAGTCTATGTCACTCTACACACCTTTCGTTCCAACTTGTATGTTTCCATACAATTCAACACCAGAAAATATCTTTCAAGTCATTTAACCGTTTTTGTATGAGGTTTTTGCTGTGCCTGTGACTTTTTTTGACATTATCACAGAATATCGATATTCTGTGACATTATATTTGAGTAAAATTGCTGTTATATTATGTTTTATGTCATGTTCCTAACCTTATTTGTGAAGGTATTTTAAAATGTACCTATTCTTTTAGTTTGGAGTGTATTGGAATTTACTGAAGTAGAACATGGATTCAATGGAATTCTTTTTCATAAGGAATTGAATTCAGTGCCGTAACTATAAATTTTAATTGAAAATGGTTATTTTGTGTGCAAAAAGATTATTTTGCAGAGGATACAACATACATAATGGTTTACATGTAGATAGTTATATAATGTTATGATCTTAGTAATTACATTATTTCTTTAAGGTTTTGAGAAGAATTTCGTCATCTAAGGTACCAGAAGCAGTATTTATAGAAAACTCTATGGAAGAACCTGTAATTGTAATGAGAGAAGAAGATGATATAGATTTAATAGGGCCTGCAGATCCTATTTCTAATCTCAGACCCATTATAAGGAAACATTTAGCCAATGAAACTATTTTGCAAAGAAGATTACGCAATCTTCAAAATGAAACACAGGAATGGAATCACTTATTTTGGACTGAGCATAATGAACGGTTCAAAAAGGTAGTGATCAAGATTTGTGATATAAAGCTATTTTGACTCATTCAATAACTTCAGGTGGAATCATATCCCATTTTTATCTGTGAGTTGGAAGTACATGTTGAACGTTTCAAGTTATAACAAATGAAGTAACATTTGTGTAGAATAGTTACATTTCAAGGAAATTTGCCTATAGATACGTTTCTACAAAAGAATTTCAACTCTTTATGGAACACATGCACATTATAGATAAGTCGTGAAGTTTATGTCTTAAAAGTTGAAGTTGGGTGATTTTTGTTATGAGTAAAAATGTTATTTGAATTAAATTGATGGATGTAGCCGTTACTACGTGGTAGAAAATCATAATGAAGAAAAGAGAATTGAAACTTTCTATGTTGTTTACCACTTTTATTTGTAACTAACGTTACTGCAGTTTCGTCCTATAAGAACATTTTCAAACTTATATAATAAGTTTCAATTCTCTTTTCTTCATTGTTCTTTACATGTTTGAATGTTTCTTTTGAAAATCAGTGATCCAACTTCTTAAGACTCATCATCTACAACTTATGACTTGAAACCAGTCATGAATCCTCTTTTGAATCCCAATTATGAAGAATCCCATTATTGAAAGACCAATTCACATGTGACATTTAGAAAGAAAAAAGCTTAAGTTACCAACTTGGTTAGTGAAACGTGCATTGAGAAGAGTATTCCAGTTTAGGTTTTTGTAAAAAGTGCTTGCCTTGGGTTATTATATACCGGAGGTTCCAGACTTACTTTTTGGGTTAGGTGACTTAGTTCACTTTGTTTCCTCTTGCATAAACACCTGAGTTTGTAATACCAATTTGAATCATAAAATGCATAATCTAATCTTTTGTGGTTCTTCGCATTGATAAGTTGTAACAATATTAATTTCTTCTTTCAGGAGCAACAAACATATATTGATTTATTTTTGAAAGGACAAATAAAAAGACAACTTACAGCAGATGAGATGAGTGAATTCTATAAAAAATTTTTGGACGAAAATTTAAGTTCACACATGAAGTATAATCGTGAATGGTACAAACGCAACTTTACATTACTAATACTGTCTTTGCTAGTTAATCTAGAAAAAAGTATACACACAATTAAAAAGTTATGACAGGTGAGAATTTTTTTTCAAATAGTCACTTTATCTGTACCTTTCTTCGCATATAACCAGTTTTACATATAAATATCAATATGATTTATCAATTATTCTAGGTGAGTTCATTGCAAATCCTTGAATAATGATCAGTTAAGCTACTTTTTGCTTGACGTGCGTCCACTGCTTCTCTATGCTTTCAGAAACAGTGTATGATATGTGGAAAATACTAATTGGCATCCAAATAGAAAGAAAATGTAAATTTTTGACATGCTGAACAGAATTTATTTATAGATCTAAAGAAATATTATGTGGTCAAAGTCATATAATAATAAAATGAATTTGTGAACATTTTTTGTTGAACAGATATTGCTGGCATGTGACTGAAAATATTCTTTAACACATGCCCCCGTGCATAGTACAGGATTTTCTGGACCATCAAAAGAGTGACTAGTCAAGCTTACTTTCTACATCAGAGTATATAAAAATTCCATTATTTCTTCTACCAATAACTTTTTGGATTTCCTATATTCATATTACTTTTTTACACATGAAGATCTAAGTTCTTGTGTATTCCCCATTTTATAAAAAAAATCTCGAAACAATCAAAATGAAAAATAAAATATAATGAATATTCCAAACATTGTAATTAAAAAAAAACTATGTATTCCATAACACACCGAATGGTTACGTAGAATAAGTCATATTGCATAGGCAGAGTAAGTTTTGTACCCTTCCAATAACTGTAAAATTCATAATTACCTTTGAAATTTACATTTACATAGAACGCAATAGTGCACTTTTATCCATTAAATATTTATTTTTAATTCTCGACCACAGGTCCTAGGTAAAGTAAAGAAGTTTCAAATTCATACATTTTTTTGAAAGAGTGCACATCTTCCTGCACAAGCTCGATTCTCATCATTGGTCAGTTCAAAAATAAAGTTATACTTCTCAAATAGGGTTATTATTCACCTCTGGAAGCTATATTGTTTCTGATAGTATTCACAACAGGCGACTTTAAATTTGTTGATGAAAGCTGTTGTTAGAAATAACCATTAACATTTATTAATTTTTCAATAATTATTCATATTTCTTATTTTTTTAAACCCGTTGTAGAAACTAATTGGAGCATTTCAATTTTAATCGTTCAATGTTATAATTCATCCTGTATATACAAAAATCTCATCTGACAGGAGAAAGTTGTTGAAGAAAAAACGTCAAATTGACAGAAAGAGATTAATATTGAAATTCTCTTTTGAGATTTGTTTGAATTAGGGACAATCGAATTTGAGTATATATAGAGATATACATTATACATTGTTATGTGTATAAAGGTGCCCTGTTGAATAAAATTATTTGCTAGTAAAACTAGTTACAGTGGTTTATTGATATATACTGCAAATTGGTCTCTCAATAACCTATTCAAACTAAGTAATCTCAACAGCTGTTGATGAAACCACTAAAAATTTCCATTTTAAAATTTTAACCGTTGACATGCTTTATTTCAGATACCAGTGATTGGATCATATCTGTGAAGGCATAACCTAAACTAGTGTTCCTGATGGGATTCGTCCAGAAAACTTGTACATAATTTATCATTTGTGGATTTGAGCATCCCACAGTATTTCAAGTTATATTTATTGTTGTAATATATATTTTGTTCTTGATTGGAGTATTTAATAAAAAATCATACAAACTTGTAAATTCCATAAAAGATTATCTGAAGAAAGTCATGTAGTATGTGGCGAGGAAAAATATTTAGTTAAAATAGATTTGCTGGATTATTAGAATACAAATTTCATTTACTATAATCATTGTTTTTCATATAATCGGTTAATCCTCATTGTTAATATTTTGGAAAGTGAATTGAATTCTTTTGTAGTTTACCTAATTTGAAAATCGAAGAAAGATATTTTTCACATTTTTGTTTTTTCAGTTGATCAAAGCTGATGAGAAACGTCTTATTTTTCATAATAATTAAAACGTAATTGTTTCATTGAAATTATCGGAAAAAAATTGAAAAATTCATCTCTAGGTTGAAAAATTGATATGGGTATTTCAGTTATATGAATTGGTTTCTTTATTCAGAGAAAATTTAAAATTCAAAGATTTATTAAAGATAGATATAACATTTCAAAATAATTATTACAAAATAAATCTACTATTTACAGGTATTGTACTAGTTTTACCTCTTTTTTACATATGTACTCTGCTGATAACCAAATTTTTAAATAACTGTCCTGATACCTTGAACTTGATTCTTGAATTATTTAAACAAGTTATTTTATAGCAAATAGAAAACAAACAGCAGATCTTACATATATAAAAATAGGTAAGGAAGTTTCTTGGGGCTTCTTGAAACCTGGCACTCTTCTTCGCATATTCTGTGCTTATTGTGAAACTCTCTGAAAAAAATTACAAATTAATATATATCCCTAAAAGCTTCAAAGCAATTTAGTCCAATTTCAAAATAATTCAGAACTATCATACTTCGGAGAGGCTCATGTGCTAATGAAATTGCAGACTGAAATTTTTACTAGACCTTAACTTTTAAAGGGTGGTGAATGAATGCTTTAATTTTTTTACACTGTAATAACATTTTTCAAGTAAAAATATGAAACAAAGTAAAAGTTTAGTACGAGTAGCCATGTATCGCTAAAATACTTAACTGTCCTTTCAAACGATTTGGATTCTGATTTTATGATAAAAGAAAATTTAATGTTTGCTGAATTGCAATACAGGATTAGAAAAAAAATGTCTTACTGCTAAATATTTTTTAGCCTCTTAATGCAAGTATAAAATGATACTAGTTTACCAAATTAAATGCTTTAAAATCTCCGATACCATAATAGTAAAATTATCAACTAATTTGGATCAGCCCCGTATATGAGTGTATAAATAGATATCGGTAGATGCAAATTTACCAAGTCGACCAGAAAGGGCTATACTCACAACTTCATTAACTTGTTTACATCCATCGCAAAACCATTTGATGTTGTCCTTGTTGCTTTCCAAAAATTTCAACTCTGAAGTATTATAAGAACTGCAGGTATAGTGAAGACCTTTGTTACAAGGTCCGTTGCATTTCAGCGTGTTATTTGAAGAATCGCCTATTTTTTCATCGCATTTTACACAAAAATTTCTAGTTTCATCAGCCATTTCACTATTTTGGAGTTTCAAAATTTTATTTATCAAAAAGTTGAATTCATAAACATTGTTACTAGGCATTAACTACTAGAAATGTCAATAAGGCGCACACTCTAATTTTGGATGTATTTATAAATTTTTGTAGTCTAGTTAAAATAAGTGAAAAAAGCGATAAGTTCACAATAATTCACGTAGAATTGAATATTTCCACAGGTCATCGATACACTGTCATGAATAAAATATCAGATTTGTAATCTATGTGGAAAAACAAATACAATGAAAATTAGTGAAATAGTCGAAAATATTTAAAAATACTGGAATGAGTTAATTAAAACAGAAATAATACCAAGAAGATATTTAGCAAACAGGAATAAGCAAAAGTCTAAGATTTCTGATTTGTAACACGGAATAAGAATTAATTGATAAAAAAAATAACAAAAAAAATCAAGATAGAAGATGAAAAAATAGTTTGGAATCTTTTCTTTTTTTTAAACTTGTGCATTTTCATTTTGCTCTTCTTATTTTCATTTGTATATTTTTGATATTTCATTTATTATTTTCATTTCAGGTCACAGGTTTTACAAATTACCGTACTCACTTTTGTTTGACATTATTTCTATTTTAACTAACTCAGTGAAATATTTCAACCCGGTAATTTTTAGTATTTTCAATAATTTTACGTTTCATTTATTATGTGATGGAATTGGCCGATACCTGATGAAAATTAATAATGATGAAAATTAATAACGTATTCTGTTTAAAATCTGTTTTTTCGTTAACCAGCTATTGCATCCCTACGAACGACAACTCTCAAAAGTCGAAAGTTGTTCGAACTAAGAACTAACGAGGTCTTACGACACTTTTTAACGTGTGAGTGTGAGTCCTAACAAATAAACACTTTGTCAGTTTACAAAACCGCATACCTACAGTTACAACCGCAAGACGTGCAACAATAGTTTTCTCAAACCTTTTCATACTAAATCCTACTTAATTTGTGCCTTCTACCTACGTAAAGACTACTAATGTTATTTTATCATGTTGAGGTGAAAACTATAATTGAAATTTTTGAACATCATAAAAAGATAATTTTATCAACTCAATAAATAGACATTTTGTGCTTTATATTATAGTAACTTCTTTTCAGAAGCCATCTGTCCTGTCTTAGAGAAGAAATGATGGAACCCCAAAATTTTGATGTTATGTGGTTCAAAATAATATCACAGAAGATCACAAATTCATATACTGCATTCATGGCCGTAACGAAAAGAAAAACCAGGGGTGGAGAGAAATCCACATTTTCCCAACCCCACCAGCAAAATGTCCCAACTTTCGAAAAAATGGAAGCCAAGGGATTAGTTACTACTATAATATATTAATTTTCTTACTTAGCTATCCAAAGATTGGCTGAATGCTGATAGTCCGGTTAGGGTATGCACAACCAAAAATAAATTTTGGTAGGTAATTATAAAAATAATAATGGGAATTATTCTACTTTGGACCAAGGTCCTTGTCCTTCCACCAATGTAAAGGAATATTCAATACAAATGAAAGGAAACAACACTTAAATAATATTGTGCTTATTGTTTTCTACCATTGTTTTTTCTAATATCTTCACGGCCCGAAATTTTCCAAGTCGAAAAAACAACGAAAAGTTGTGAATTTTGTAAAATTGTCACTTCAAAATTTATGGACTGTTCAGGACTGTTCTCTTACTTGGGAGAAATTGAGCTTTTTTGAAGTTTTCAAACAACTCAAAATTTGAGAAGTATGGGATCTCCAAGTTATGCATGTTGGGAAATCCCAACTTTCTCCTGGTTCTTTCCCTTTTCCTATCACCTCTCCCTTTCTTTTTTCTCATTTCTATTTTTTTAATTTTTTTGCTATTATTTTTTTCTATCTTCACGGCCCAAAATTTCACAACTTTTTCCCAAGTCGAAAAAGCAGGGGAGGAGGCTCCCCCCCAGTCCTCCCCCATGGCGACGGCCCTGACTGCATTTATTGACCACCAAGTGATACGCAATATAGGGCACTATTCCCTTCACTTGCAAACACCATTGACTTTATGAAAATCAATCATCCCATTGCCGAAATTTCCATATTCAGTGACTTCAACGCTCCCAATATCGAATGGCTCAAATTTTCAAATATCAATGACGAGGTTTTTGCACAAACCAGGGGACTTACTAGGTTTATAAATGAGACAACCAGGATTCCTGACCGTGATGGAGAATATGCTAGTAGTCTGGATCTATATCTAACGACTAATACAGAAATTTACACAGTAACCGTTAGGTCACCATTTTTGGGATCTTCTGATCACAAACTCATTTCAGTGTTTAGAGAAGCTGCGCAAAGTTTGGCATTACAGATCTGCTGAGTGGGAGGATTTTCAAGACCATTTCCGAAATTTCCCCTGACTAGATGTTTGTTTCAGATCTTAAGATTCATCTATTTGTGCTTCTGAAGTCACGGAAGTTATTCTATCATCCATGGTTGTATACCTATATTTCTTTTTGAATGAAACGAACTTCTAACGGCAAACCTTGTCTCAACAAAAATTGCGCCTCCAAAAATCTGGGCTACCGGCAGTGCGGCGCAAAAATCCCAACACCGAAAACTTGGTTAATGTCTTAATGCCCGCAACAGCTGCAAACTTAGGATAAATGAAAGCAAAGAACTTCACAATCCCAACGGGGATTGGCAAGCAGTTTATCCCTAACTGCAACTGAACCATCCGCCCGTTGCAACTGAACCATCTGCCCAACGGGCGGATGGTTCAGTTGCAACAACAACCATAGAGAGAGCAAATTACTAGCTGAACAATTTACGTCCCATTTCACAGTCGATTTTCTGAGAAAAGCATCAGCCACTATTTCCACACTGGAATCCACAATGCCGCAAATTACTCCTCGACAATATCTAGTCAGGCGAATTCTGAAACAGCTTAATATCAACAAGGCGTCTGGCCCATCATCGTACTTAAAAAGTACGGGGTTTTTTCTTCTTGTTGGAAGATTGCTCGCGTTCAGTCTATTCCCAAAAAGAGCAAGAAAAATCTTCCAAATAACTATAGACCAGTCACTTTGCTTTCAATGATATCAAAAATCATCGAGAAAGCCGTAAACCACCATATCCTTAAATATTCGGAAGGTTTCAATGTCTTGAGCGATCATCAATATGGCTTTCGGAAATGAAGATCAACAGGCGACCTTCTATCATATGTCACCCATATTTGGAATAACGCAATCGAGAAACATGGAGAGTCAAGAGCTGTTGCGCTTGATATTTCTAAGGCCTTTGACCGTGTGTGGCATGAGGGTTTGTTGGCCAAACTTTGATGAGAAGGCTTGTCGGATCAGTTTTGTGTATGGCTCCTGAAAAACGTTTTCTGCATGTGGCCGTCGACGGATATCTACCGAATAATTTTACCATCAACGCTGGTGTTCTCCAAGGATCCATATTGCCCCCAACCGCTTCGCTTTCTATTGTATATCAAGACTTATTGGAAAAAACAAAGAACACAATATACTGCTTTGCTGACGGCAGTACACTTGTTTCATCATTCCATTTGGATTCCAGGACATCTGCGGTGGATGCACATCTTCACCAGCAGCAGGAGGTTGTATATCTTAATGAGGATCTATAGAAGTAATTTCGAATTGGCATCGGTTTTCTCTAAAAAGATAAATGTCTCCGAACCGGATATAATAATGTCAGGTCAGACAATTCCACCCTCTGCTTCGATAAGTTTGTTGGGGGTTAAAATGGACACCAATATGTCTTGGCACAATCATGTCACTGGAATTGCAAAAGTCGCTTCTCAAAAGCTTGAGATTCAACTCAGTTTACCTCGAACTTTACTGTTCAAGAACTCTTTCATTTTGAGAACTGCGTTTATGTGGAATAAACTTCCTGAGAACTTTCTTCCTCTAATGTGAATCTCTCATTTCGCACAGGCACCGCTTTTAGAACGCCTTAAGGATTTTCCTTTAGTGCTTGTGTTTTGTCTTTAAAAAACCAATTTGAATCATATGACCTTCAACCTACTTCATGATTAATAGGTTTAGGTAAAAACTAATAAAAATTTTAATAACTTTCAATAGTATACTTCGCAGACTATTGAATATTTCACTAAGAAAAAAGCAACACGTGGACCGGGGCTTATTCATCCAAATGGAATAACACCGATTTATAATAATTGATATATTGATAGGTACTATTCCTTTTTTTGGGAAAGAAAGTTTTTGGCTTTCTGCTACTCCATCTTGATACAAAAAACAAGGATGTTGCTGTTTTGACGAAATGATGTGTCATTCAGTAATTTTTTGGTGAAAATGGGGGTTGAGTCCTACCTATTCGTGAGTTGATGGAATCGATCTGAAAAATATCACATATGTCTGTTTGGGCGAGGTTATCATGATGGGTTTAATATTTGATGACCACCTCAAAAACCTTGGCAAGGATAACAAAGATGTTTGACTAAAAACAGAAAAATTAAACTTCTTCGGTCTCGTTATCTCAGATGAAATGAAGATGGAATTAGGGAATAACTGACCAAAAGTAAGGATAAAGTAAAGGTTCTTGGAATTTAAGTACGAACTATAGTATGTCAAAGTCTTAAATCCTTGGACAGAACTTCATGAAATTATTGTGTTAACACTAAATACTTTCAAGATATGTTAAAATTCCTTGAACACTTCTTGTGATATATTTATAGTAAAACTACTATTTCATTTAATCAAAATATCAATATTAGCATAAAATATGTAACAACCGTTCTTCATAGGACACAAGGACATGTTGAATATTTAAGAGGTTGTTGGATTCTTGAAATTTTATGATTTTCATAGTCCTGGTCCTGAAGTAGGAAATGAGTTTCAGTCTTATGCTGTCATATGTAGGTGGTGCACGTGAAAGTCTTGGAAAAGTGAGTAGGGTTTTAATGACGGTTCTGAACCTCCTCCTTTCAATCGATATTGACAATGAATGACAGCACGTCATATGACCTTGAACGATTTTACACGACCTTGAGCTATGCTCAGACGTTGAGGAAGGAGTTTGATGTTGACGGCTGACTCTGCCCTAGATACATGACCTTGAGATGTTTCGTCTGGTATTATATATTGAGGAATTCCTGTACCTACTCCCACGAATGACGAAGGACCATTAATATCGAAGGGGCGGAGGTTAAACCAACACTTCTAGCAAAGCAGACATGCTTGTGCTGCAATTTGACTATTGTAATAATAATAATAATAATTGTAGGATTGTGAGCTACGGCCTGTAGCCTACAGGGTGAATAGTCAAATCCACAACATGAATTACCCCAAATTCTTCGATGAATTGAATCAGAAAGTATTGAAGAAGTGTTAGTGATCCAAAAATGTTAGAAAGTTGATATGGAAGTGTTTGGGCGTCACTATCTTTAAACTGAGGAGCTGTCAGAAGTAGAAGCATTCGATAGTCCCAATCAAGTTTTTGATCAATCGAATGATTTGAATGTGGTGTACCTATAACATTTTTGTTGATGGTTTATCTACACAGCCAATGAAAATTTTAGACAAGATTCAGGTATGTGATGTGAAGAGAAAATATATTTTCAGGTTGGACCATCGAGAAATTTCTGTACATGGAGGTGAATGTTGATAAGTATACCTTGGAGGGTCTTCTTACATCGAGTTTCTCATCAAGTTGAAGAGAAGTGTTGGATCAGTACTCCTTTGGGTGGGCTGTGACTTCAGCTTTGTTTTCTGGCGATGTGAGTTGAAATCCCATGATTTCAAATGACATTTATCTGTGAGATTCGAGGGGTATATGTCAGAAAGGAAAGACTCCTAGTCAGCTCACAAAATTCATCATTTTTTATCCATACAAATAATTATGACATAAAATCAAAACACACTCATAATTTGATGGATGTAAGTCATCAACACTCAGATAGGCTAATTCTCATGCCACCCTTCTTAGAGCAGAACCCAAATCCATTGCTTCCGGCCAATCTTCGCCGTATTGCATCCACATATTTGTAGGAGAAGGAAGAGCTCTGAAAATACGCAAATTGTACCCAATGTTGTGAAAACACAAAAGTCCTTACTTGAAATTTGACCATGTTGCTCCTACGTATAGTCCAGTCATATTAGGGGTTTCATCTCGGAATGAGACATAAGCTATAAACTCGCATACATCTTCATTTCCGTGAACTAAAAGTTGTTATTCAAGGTCAAAGGTAACAAAAATCAGTTTTTCGCGATTATCTCGATATCTATAGTTCCAATGATATATCATGATATGAGACTTTCGAGACAAATTTGAGAACACCAAAATGAAGGGGTATACGGTGGGTGAGTCGGTTCGATGTGGGTGCTTTGTTCACTCACTCAAATCGACCGCCGTGTTGGTCGGTGGTTCAAGCCCCAGGCTGAACGATCAATTTCCACTTGCTATTGTCCATTCCGTGTTAGGAATCACACGGTTGAAAGTTGTGGTAAATTAGAATACCACCCGCCACTGGTTAGCTATGTATAAAAACTGAATGTTATTTTGTTTTATTATTTTTTCTTATGTTGGACAGGTTTTTGGGGTTCGAGGTCGATTCTCGAGCCATTCAATAAAATGTAACTGAAGTGTGTGCGTCTTATTTAAAACATTAAAGATTATTATACAAAAACACTACAAAAGTAAGACCTGGTTAGTCCTTAGCTCGCACAAGTTTCGACTTCTGAGGGTTGTCGTTCGTAGGGGTGCGACAGCTGGTTAACGAAAAAACAGATTTTTTAAATACGAATTCACAACTTATTATCGCTCTAATAATATCACTGGATTATATATAGAAGCAACCGTATATATGTGGGAACAGCGTTGGGTGGAAAGATCGCATTCATAATTAATATGTAAGTTTATAAAAGGCGTACAAGAACTTTTATCATATTTCCCCCTCCCCCAAATTGGTTTAATTTTTTTGACTCATCCAAAATTTTCACGTGCATCACACACACAACTGATGGCATAGGGCTGACATTAATTTTTTACCTCAGAACCATAAAAAAACAAAGATTTTTGAGAGACATCATATGACCATCTGAAAATATTCCCGATATATGAAAATTTATATCACACCTCACTAAACTCGTTTTCATTGATTCTGATATTATATAAATTTGAAGTGTTGGAAATTAGGGCTCATTGTAAGTGAGTGATTTATGATTTGTAGAACTTTTACCGTTCTCAAAAAATATCGTAGGTACTTATTCGGTTCTCTAAATAATATCGAATACTTTCTATATTTTTTCCTTTATGGCAAAGCCAAATAACCTAACTACAAATTTTTTATGAATGAACTTATTGAATGTTTGGAATGGGTTTGAAGACACCGGTTACAAATTTTGGGTGAAATGAATTTCAAATTGTCTACTGCTTTTGAACATTTAATTTCATTCGATCGATGAATTATGGAACAAAATACATTTGAAACGAGAAATAATAATAAATGACTAAATATCCTTGATTGGCTCTTCGGTTCTGGTAATCATTTCAAAAAGTTCATGCAGATCTTTTCTGGGACAGTTACTTCCACAAGGCTTATGTTTTGGGCAACAATTTGAACACGACGAATAAAATGATGAGTTTGTTGCAAGATTTGAAATGTCCAAACTTCGACTTCTCCTGTAAATCTCGTTGAGAGGGAAATCTTCTTCTGTTTTATTCGTTAGAGAATTTATGGAAGATATCTGTAAAACATTATTGTTTATATGCATTCTCTTAACTAACAGAGTTTTTTCAAAATGTTTAAATTATATCAAACTGTATCAACCAACGTAAAAGTTTTTTATATATTTTTTCAGTCAAAATATTGGACAGTTTTGCAAAAATGTACAAACTTATCACATTTCGCAAGAGAACATTATCAAAAAAATACCTTTTCAAAAAATACCGATGGTTTCGATATAAATGTTGATTCAGAGAATGTAAAAAAAATAGTAAATATTAGAAATTGAAAATATGCGACGATATTCATTTTTCGCTTTCAATAAAATGCCCGAACAAATAAAAACTGTTACTTCATAAAATTCAAAATATTATTGAAAAAATTAAAGAAATACAAGAAAGAAAATGAGATATTCATTATCAATATTTTTTTAACGTTTGTTTGAAGGGGGTTGACAATGTTTCGTGGTGCATTTCATTAGTTCGTACTTCTATTGTCTAATATAATATAAATTGATTTGAAATCCCTGAAAGAATCTGTAAAAAATTTAAAAGATTGCCCCCCTCTCCGCTTCATTGGTTTTAGCGGGAGCTGACCGTTGGCCGTGTTCCGCTTGATTAGAGGTTTCCATATGTTAGGTATCTCTACGCTAGCTTGACTAAATGCTTTGTTGGACAACATATAAGCGGCTTCTTTGAATTTTTTCCTAAACCAGTGTTCCTCTTTGTGGATGATTTCAGCTTGAGATCACTTGATGTTATGTTGATGAGTCCAAACATGCTCTGCTATTCCTGATTTGCTGGTTTCCTTGGTGTGTTTCTTGTGCACGGCAATGCGAACTTTCAATGGCCTCTGACGGTATAGGATTTGCCGTACTGACAGGGTATCCGGTAAATGCAATTCTTGGAATCGCAGTTCTCGTTTGGTGGCCTTGTTTTCGTGAGGCTGCTACGGATAGTGTTTTCGAATCTGAAGCAGGTTCTGATGTTGTACTTGGATCCAATTCTTATTATCCTTTCCGATAATCCTCTGATGTAGGGAAGTGCAAGCACTGGTTGTGATGGCTTCTCTTCCTTGCGAGGCTACTGCTGTCTCTCAGCCAAAGTCTGTTCCACGATCGCTTCGGAGTAGCCATTCCGTTGAAGATCATTTTTGATGATGCCTAGTTCCTTTTCGACACCTTCCTTTCTATTACAGAGCCCGAAAGCAGGGTCTAATAGAGTCTTGATGATTCCTCTCTTAGTCGATTGATGGTGATTACTCGAAGTACTCGAATGACCCATAAATAGTCATCTCTCGGAGGAATTAGTCCAGTCATCACCCGAAGATGATTGTGGGTACTAACAATCGAAACGTCGTGAAGTAACTTGGCTTGGAATCTCTCAACTTTTTATTTTTATTTTTTGTTCAATTGCTCTATTTTTGCTTGTATTTTATTTCACTATTATTTCATTTCAGGTTTTTTGCTTGATATAATTGTTATTTTCAGCTATTGGTGTGGAATTCTCGGAAAAAGAGTTATGGTCCGTATTTTTTGGACGGGCATTTCACTGGAAGAAAATATGTTAGATTTCTTCGGCATGCGTTTTCGAATTTATTAGACGGGGTTTCATATGGAACAAGATTTAGAATATGGCTACAACAAGACGGTGCACCACCACATTTTGAAACTGAGGTACGGGAATACCTCAATGATCATTTCAATCAATATCGGATACGTAGGGGTGGGCCTGTGGCGTGGCCACCCAGATCACCTGACTTGACCAAAATGGATATTTTTTTATGGTGAATTATCAAATGGATTGTCTACCAACATCTATAGAATACATGAAACGAAGATTAACTAGAGCTTTCAGGGAAATATCAGAGGATAGGCTGGAATGTTTAAAATAGATTTACATTATGTGTTGCGGAAAATGGTCGCCATTTTGAACATGTTTTGGACTCCTCTATTCAATGAAAAAATTAGGCGTTATTGTTGATACTGAAAAAATTTTGAGTAAGTGAACGTAAATAAATAAAGTTTTTGTGGTTACAAAAATTAATAAAACTGGATATAATTTGTAAAATATCTGTTTTTTTTATAGTATACCTGTGATAAAAAATGTAGTGAAATGTTGAAACATTTCATACAAATGAAAGGATGTTTGATTTGAAAAAAGTTGAACTAGGTATGTCTGTCTGAAAATAACAGGAACTTGTCCGGTTTTACCGAGTACCCTATATATTTTTTCCGGTGGTTGATTAAAAAAATATTTTCTGCAAAATAGGTTTTTCTGAAATAACGTGGCAAGGCCGCAATGGAAATTCGAAAACAAAAATTCCTTATATCTATTTATTTTTTGATTTTCATGGAATTATTTTCAGGCAGCTTGACTGCATTAACTTTTCTAGATTTCATATCATTTCTAGAAACATGAGGATTCGTTTTCCGATGGCATTTCAGGTTACCTTCCCTAATTTCTGCTACCGCAGTTGTCGGTTGTTTGGTCAAACCACCAACACTGACATAAAAACTTGGCAAGTTGACTTGGGTGTCACACCAATAGGTGGTTCCACTTATGTTTCGCTTGCGTTTACGCAGCTATTTTTATCAAGTACTTTCTTGGTTTTTCTCATTTTGTCTTCAATCGAGGAGCGCCTGCCCGGTACTGATGATGCCTAATAGGCTGAAACAGCTGTCTACCGGTGGCTCTTGAATTGAAATCAATTTGGGAATGATCAAGAAATACTTATCTATTTATTTTTTGATTTTCATGAAATTAATTTCCGGAAGACATTTTATTGATTTATTTTGTACAATTTTGAGCAAACTACATATAAATAGATTTTTTTGCTGAGCCACAAATGGAAATAATACAATGTAATTTTATTAGCAGTTTTTTGTTAATGGACTTACCGAGGAAATATGGATCTGTGAGGGAAATAATAACGGTATACAATTTGAAGGACATTGTAACATTGATCTGAATAAGATAATTCACTGGTGCTTCGCATTTCACTAAACAATTGACCTTATCAAGTGATGCGACCCTATGGTTGCCAACTGCGGTAAAATAATGACATTTGACATTTCTTGATAAATAAATAACCCATCTTTCTGAGTTCCTTCTGCATTTTCATTTTTGTTCTTGTATTTTGTCCTTGTATCGTGGTAGATGTGGTTATTTTTGCTTCTTTTCCTGTTTTCGTATATTTACTCGTTTGTTTCCCCAAATCAATTATTCTTCAAAATGCAAAAAAATGGAATCAAGGTAAGTCAAGTGTGTTTGTTTATTTTTAAATAATTTTCTGCATCTTTCTGTGAAGGAAAATGCAGAAGGAACTCAAAAAGATAGGTTATTCATTTATTAGCAAATGTCAAATTGTCAAATGTCATTATTTTACCGCAGTTGGCAACCATGGGATCGCATCACTTAATAAGGTCAATTGCCCTAGTTCTCGAAATTATTTAGAAAAAAAAATGAGGGTTGGTACACATAATATCTGATGAAATTCGTAGAGAATGTCCTAATATAAAATTATTTTTACTCACCTTCCAATGTATGATCTGTAGCTCTTCTTCTTTATCGTGCAACATTTTAGTCAACATTAATTGCACCTTCTTCTGAGCATCAACTTGTTTCTGAAAATCGGCAACCGTGTCTATTAATTTTTGGGTGGCAAATTTAGCGGCTTTAACAGCCTTTTCCTTTTCATCGGCTAATATGGCTTTCTGTAGTTCCCACTCGCGACTTTGTTCTGCCACTTCTTTCTGAAGTTTCGCAATGGCCATTTGTTGACTTTCATCACCACTTTTCTCTTCACAGTACCGATCTAAGACTTTTTCCAATTCCATCATTTCACGAGTAAGAGCTGTTTTCTGAGATTCCAGTTTCTGAAAGACCACGGAGAAGCTACATTTTAATTTGTTCATAACAGTAATTTTAAATTACGAGTGATACGAGGTGCATTATCCTTTTTATACCTAACTACTCAGCCAGTGTTCGCGAAAATAGGATGATAAATAGGCTTCTATTGATCGAATAGAACCTGAAGTATCGAACGTTTCGTCTGCGACATATTTCATCAGTGGTGTGTGCGTTTACTGCGAGAAGGCATACTTATAAGTGTCAACAACTACTGACTGAGAGACTAACATCGTTTTTTACATTCTCCTTGCTTCGAGACATAACTCTCGTCCTCGCAGTATACGCACATATCACCGATGATGTCCGATGCATTGGCAGACGAAACGTTTGGTACTTCAGGTTCTATTCGACCACGGCGTCTCGCCCGGATTTGTTTTCTCATTTCAAACAACACTAAATGGGAAATGACCATGTAAAATACTTTTTTACGTATAATAAAAACCTCCAAAAGTAACGATTACAAACAATTAATTGTTTGCAATAATAAAACATCAACTCATACTCGAATATCAGTTCACAAATATGTAGGTAAAATTTTCATAATATTTTATTCTGTTTTTCTTATAACAAGCACAATTATTCAATATTACACAGAATTGCGTAAAAAATTCATTTTCATTATTCCACCGACACAAGAAGTGAAAAAAAGTCATATTTTCGTTAACTGGAACAAGTTGAGGAGGTGTCACGCAATGTAATCCAAAATTAAAAGGCAACATTTTCAAACGAGTTGTGTTTTCTTATCTCGAAAGTAATTTTCATTGTGCCAAAGCGTCAGTGGACTCTGAACTTCATTTCGTTTTCAAAACTACTTTACTTTATACCTTCATCTATCAAATATATTGCGTGAGGCATGGCTTGATTGAGGTCAAAGTTCATCGTAACAATTTCGTTCAGTGAAATAGACCGCCGCGGCGCGGCGGTTGAAAATGGGTCAGATAAACATCTAGTGTGACAAGGGTGAAAGTACTTGATAGGTATAAATGAGGCTTCATATTTCTTCTATATGCTGAATTTAATTGTACTTGATATGTAACATTTACCGATGAAAGATACTTATATGATGATAATGATGGTCATCGTAGACAAAAAAAAGGCGACTCTATAGAAACAGCTCCGTATTTTTTTTATTCGTGAAGTTGGAAAAAAATTTAAAATTGTTTAATCACCATCAATAACAATTGTAGGCACTGAATAAAGGGGTATATTTTTAGTAGAGATTAGTTTTTGCTTTTTTGCTTATAAAATGGCTACTTAATCAAACAGTTTGGAAATATCTCAATCCCATGACTGAGTTTAGGTTCTGTTAATTCACATGAATTTACAGATACTTGATGAAGATGAAGAAATAGTAGTATAAAACGTATTGCCAGATAAATATTGAATATTGCATATAATGTGGTATATTTCATCTATCAAGTTTATATTTGTATCTAAATGCCAATGTTTTCATTGGAATCTAACTTTGGTAATTTTTTTCAAGAAATCATTCATTCAAAGAGATTTACCCAATTCGAAGAGAAGAGGATAAAAAGTTATAGAACCTTAATCTACTTAGGCCAACTCACTAGAAATATTTCAGATTTTCTGCACAGCAAAGGTGGTAAGTACTGTTTTCAAGTGTATACATTATCGTGTGGGTCATGTCCGATGTTTTATATAGGTCAAACTGCCAGTCATTTATTCTCAGAGGGACATGAGTTCAACCATGAACACAAACCCCTCCATTTTCAGAAGAAAAGTTTGAAACTTAACCTGTTGGAGAGAGTATGGAAATAAACAAATTCAAAACAACTCATGAACGATCAAACTGAATTGAATAATTCGCCATTATTGAATCTATTCATTTGCAGGTAAAAATACTTATGATGCACTGTTTGGAACCTTTGGTGTAGTAATGAATATTACTGGAGTTTTTTCCCAACACCAAATCGTTATTTTTAACACCTTGACAGGTGTTTTGATTACCAAGTGATCATCTTCAAGAGGAAGATTAAACTACAAACTAACGCGAAGCTAACGCTATTTATACTATATAGATACACCATACCGGTAAACCATACAGGTTTACCACCCACACAGGTATACCACCCTAAATTAATTTTACAATTTTGCCTTATCTATTATTTTACAATATCTGTTTAAATGTTATAGCTGTATATAAAACAATTTTAAGCTATATAAAAAATTTAATTTCACAATATTGCCTATCTAAATTTATTTTCACAAGTGTCCCTATTTAATAGTCAGTAAAACTAATAATATTATTTTAACAAGCTATATAGAATGCTATTTGGTACTGGTCCGTCATCGTTATTCATAACATTACTTATTGCTACACTCTCATAGGCATCTAGTTGCCTGTTGTTGTTGACTTGTCTAACTAATCTTAATGAACTGAAGTGTATGGAATGGTTTTGTTGCAAAATATGATGGGCGACTGCTGATTTTTAGGTCTTCCATATTTTAAGTGTACTAGGTGTTCCTTATATCTTACTTTAATAGATCTTTTTGTCTGTCAATAATATTTTGCATCGCAGTCCTTACATTCAATTTCGTAAATTCCAGACTTTTCCGAATTCTCGACTTTGTCTTTTGGACTTCCCAAAAGGCTCTGTAGTGTATGACTTGTTTTAAAAACCACCTTCATACCTAGTTCCTTGAAAATATTTCCAAAGTTCTTCGTAAATTGGTGGTATGGAACTGAGATGTATTTATCTTGGTTTTTGTCCTTTCTGAAAGTCGAGATTTCGTTCATTCTTAACCTAAACTTCTTCTTCCTTATTATTTCACCTACAATACCCCTCGAGAAACCGTTAGTGGCTGCCATTTCCTGTATTGTACGTTTTTCTTTTGTGAACATCTCATGTGTTAGAGGGAAAGTCAAAAGACGACGCACTAAAAAATTCAACCCAGCATGTTTGTGCTGTCCACAGTGATGTGAACTGTCAGGAATATACCTGTATGTGCTTGTTTCTTTTCTAAATATATCGTATTCTAACCCTCCATATTTTTCAATTCATACGTGAATTTTATTAATGGACATCTATTATTTAAAAAGGAAACAAAGTCCTCAATAATCGATATTTTGGTATCGAATATCGCGAAAATATCATCCACATACCTTAGCCAAATCCTAGGAAAATACTTTGACTTTTATTTGGTTTCCATTTCATGAGCAGATTCGAACTGAAAACCTATGAGAATAGAAATAAGTAAACATAATAATATTATGTTAAAGACACCAAAGGTGTGGTATACCTGTATAACATAAATGGTAAGCTTCGCAAGTTTTCCAGTTTAATCTTCCTCATGAAGATAATCATTTGGTGATCGAAACACGTGTCGAGGTATTGAAAATAACAGTAATATTCATTACTACATCAAAGGTTCCAAATAGTGCATCATAAATTCCTATACAGAATATATGTTATCTGGCCATCACAATCTGATCCTTTCACAATGTACTTTTCCATTTCTCCACCTTCTTTCTTATTTCTTTAGCCACTCTACGCATTTAAAGATGAAAAATTTTGGAAACTTCCATATAAAGGACAAAAGTAATTACCTTTAATAAACTCTTCACAAGATATGGATCATGCACAGAAATTTATTTAAAGTACAAAAAACTTGTTTTCGAATTGCACTATAGTTTCTAGTTTTATCTCCCTCTTGAAGATGATCACTTGGTGATCGAAACACGTGTCGAGGTGTAAAAATAACGATTTGGTGTTGGGAAAAAACTCCAGTAATATTCATTACTACACCAAAGGTTCCAAACAGTACATCATAAATACAAATTTTATGTAGTGTAAAATTATTGAAATACATGTCTTTTCAAATACAATGATACTGTTTCCGAGTAGAGAGGACTGGATCCTCCGGAAGAAGGAAATATTAAGAGCAGATAGTTGTTGGTCACAATTGGTTGCAATTGAGATGTATTGCCAATTGCATATGCAGGAAATTTTCTGTGAGGATTCCTGCACTGACGCCTGTCGGATATAATTTAACGCCCTTCGTGGTATTAGCCAGGAGAGTAGTTGTTTTCTGATGGGCGTCAGTCTATTCAACCTACTGTGTAGGTATATCCGAGACTGGCTTGAACGTATAAAGTTCATTTCTTTAGATTTTGTTGACTGTCAAAGAACCAAATCACTTTTCGATATCATAGTAAAATTATAATTACAATAATCTGGAATTCTATGTTTGTTTTTAATTATTTCCAATCAACTGATTCAACGATAGCCTGAAGAAGTAGATATCTACGAGTGTATAATATTCGGAATAGAAAATTCGTGTAACTAATATACAGTGTGTCTCACTTCTCAGGACTATTTAGAACTTTCTGTAAAACAAATTTCAAAAAAATAATGATCAATTTTGAAGTCGAAAAAGCTTTTAAATTTTCTTACTGTGAACATGTCATTTTTCAGTAATAGTTGGAAACTTATTAAAACCCTTTCATTTTGTATTCTTTCTATATATCAACATATCGTTTCTGATATAAAAAAACTACATACTCTCAACTTTTGTAGGAGATGATCCTTTTCACTCATTTCCTTCTCCAATTCTTTATGCTTCTTTATCAAAACATCGTTAATTTTATTGATTTCCTCCTCAGCGATATTACTTTCTTCTCTAGCTCTACTTAGTTCCGAAATTTTTTCTTTTATTTGACTGTGCAAATTAGCTATCGTCTGAGATTGATCCTGTATAATTTTTTCTTGAACCAGTTCATTGTCTTTCTCCCTGCTCAAGGCAACTCTGCAATTTCAAATTGTTTTCGTCATTCACATTATTCATCATTTATAATAGGATCACTCTAATGGAGAGAATATTTGGCGGTTGAGATCATCCTTGCGGATATTATTATTTTTTTGGCATTTTCTCTGAGATCATGATTGAACAATATGAATAACAGGAAAAACAAGTTATGTATCAATTCAGATACCTTGTTTATGAACTCGATTTTTGTCGTCTTGAAATCGCCGCTATAAAAACATTGCATTATTTAAGTGGCTTGTAGATAAATAGATACGAGTAGATGGATGATTTATTTAACTACGATACATAAGTTTGTAGCAGGTCATATAGATAAACACTCTTATTTCCAACACTAGAAAACAGTAAAACAATAATAAATATAGCACAAACAAATTATTTTACAAATAGGCTAATAATATCGTAGAACTGCAACAATAATTATGTCTTCAATACAGAAATTATCTTTGTATATGTAATTATACAGGGTGTCAATTTGAAAAGTATCCACCCTTAATATCTTCCTTCCAGTAAACATTATTAGGAATCGAAAAAAAGGTCAATTCTATTGTCAAGTGGGAGACTTTCGAAGAATATTTTTAGCCCTTGTGGTTCAACCCCCTAGGAGGGGTAGATTTTATCCTCAGAATTTTAAATAGGAAGGGGTGTCAAGTGGCATATCATTTTGATTGGTGTTCAATTCTGTTTCCAACGGTACCCCGACTTATTATTTTTTGTTGAGGTGTGTTTGATGAGTTGTGTTGAGTTAATGTTGAATTTTCAATTCTCATCGCAGAAAGTGTACAGGTATCCGTCCTTTTTTGCTATTTCTGCTATTAAAAGTTTCTGTTTTCGGGCAAAAAATTGGTTCGCAAATTTGAACGATGTGGTAGTATTGTGCATACAGTTGGGCTGTTTAATGATTATTTTAATAAGTGCATAAAAGTGTAAAAATAGTTTACGTTCTTCAAGACAGAATTGAAATTATTGAAGTTTATGGAAAAGATGGTAAGTGCGCACGAAGGGCGACGTGTCCTTTTAACGAAAGACATCCAAATTGTGATGTAAGTCACCGGTATGTGCTTGATTTGGTGAACAGGTTTTAGAAAACTAGTTCGGTGACGAATAAAAAAAGAAAAAACCCCAGAGTACTAAATGAAGCAGTTTTGGGAACATTTGCTGCACAGCCCACGAGCTCCATATGATCAGTATCAGAACAGACTGGAATGTCACGCGAGATTGTAAGAAAGCATTGAAAATGCATAAATTTCATCCTTATAAAATGAAGATTCTTCCAGAGCACCACGAGGATGATTATGATAGAAGAATAGAGTTTTGTGATGAAGGTGATTGACAATGTTTTGTGGTGCATTTCATCAATTAAAAAAAAAGTTACTTCACGACGTTTAATTGATTTGAAATCCCTGAAAGAATCTGTGGAAAAATTAAAAAGATTAGCTGAAAAAACAATTTTATCAGGCAAAAAACTGAAATTACAATGAAATAACACACAAGCAACATCCAAAAAAAAGAATTATTAACACGAGCTGAAAAATTGAAAAAATATTAACAAGAAATGAAAATTAAAAATATATAATTGAAAGACAAGTTACTTCACGACGTTTCGATTGTTGGTATCGACAATCGTCTTCAGGTGATAAGTGGCTGATATAAATTGATTTGAAATCTCTGAAAGAATCTGCGAAAAAATCAAAAAGATTAGCTGAAAAAACATTTTATCAGGCAAAAAACTGAAATTACAATGAAATAACATACAAGCGACAAAAAAAAAATTGAACTATCAACACGAGCTGAAATATTAAAAAATCATTAACAAGAAAAGAAAAATGAAAATATAAAATTAAAAGATTTCAAACCAAGTTACTTCACGACGTTTCGATTGTTGGTATCCACAATCGTCTTCGGTTATCATCCGAAGACGATTGTGGAAGTCCGAACTGATGAAAAAGTTTTGTGAAATCACGTCTCATCGAGTCAATACCATCCTTAATCTTCTGTTAAACATCTGTGTCAGTGATAAGAGTTAATTTTTTCTGAATGGCAATGTTAATAGAGAAACCTGTCGCTATTGGAGTGACGAAAACCCACATATTTTTCGGGAAGAGCATACAGAACACCCACCAAAAATTAATGTTTGGGCTGTTGTTTTTAGAAATGCCATTATTTCTTTCTTTGGGGGCATCTTGAATCCGATGTTCATAAAACACAACCTTTTGATATTGAAGAACGAATTACAGCAGCATGCCAGTCAATTCCTAGTGAAGTTTTCCGTAATGTTAGAGGGGAGTTTGAAAACAGACTTCATTACTAATTAAAATAAAATGGATGACATTTCGAACTAATTAGCTTACCCAGATTTTATGCCTGAAATGTCTTTCTCTTAAATAAAATTGTTTTTTGTGAAAAGAATTTAACCAACAAATGAAAAATCACACGTGTAATACATTTATCTCTGTCATTCAAGTGTTGGAACCAAACCATTTTCATTAAGTCAATACAATAATGCATCTCAGGAGAGGCCAATTCTAATTACATGTGTTAGTTAAGAACGCTATTTTTCGTTACTATACGTCCCCCTCCCATTTACGATTTTCAGGGTAACATCTAATCTACCCCTCCTTGGGGGTTGAACCACGAGGGCTACAAATATTCCTTGAAAGTGTCCCCCTTGACTATAATTAAGGGTGAACAGTATTCAAATTGACACCCTGTATATATCTATAATAATGTCAAAAGTCATTTTGGTAATACTCTTCTACACTGTGAAGCCATCTAGATTCAAAATATTGTTTCATTCTGATTTTGAACTGATTGAAATTGAGTTTGACGGAATTGTGTTGAATAGATTTAGGTTCAAATGATTCATTTTGGAAGTTCTCAAAAGCAGCTTCGGTATTTTCAATAAGTCGCCAGATCTGGTGTTATATTCATGGTTGTGAGAGAGTGTTTCAATGAACAATAATAAACTCAGTGCATTTTTTAATGTCCCCCCTTTTTATTTTTAGAACGGGTCAACTCAATAAATTGATATATGGCATAATGAAATTAATGCATGAATACTTTATTTTGAAGTGAAATTGACAGATGAAAGGGGGGGTCTTGTGACACATCATTTTGAAGCTCCTGACGAATACTTCATAACCCTAGAATATGAAGTCAATATCTTCACCTACTACAAATTGGCGGAACAATTAATAATTTCCTGAAGACAAACCATTAATATCGATATTTCTAGAAATTATCGACCATATCGTCGGCTTACTTTCAAAACCTCCTAAGTCAGCTCAGGCCAATTTTACACGAGGAATACAAAACGTGTATGAACCATCTTACACCAATTTTGTGAAGTGATCTTTCAATAACCAATACTTATAGTTGGTTTTGACTTGTTCACACAAGTATTTACTAAAAATTACAATAATATAGTTTTCAACTAGACATAGAAGGTTTTGCGACAAATATAACAGAACATGATAGAGACTTAGTAGGTTTTATTTGTTAAAATTGTACAAAATTGTTGCGAATTCATTTGATGTTACTCTTCCTTCAGCTTCGTGCCACAAGAAACAATATGCATCACTTGTTATGAGATTAAACAAGGTAAAGTTATGAACCACTAATTTTTTTTTATAATACATTTTTGATGCCTTAAGCATTGGACAAAGAAGAATTGATTGAAGATCCATCGTGAAAACAAGCCGAGCATTACTCTTATCTAATGATTTTTCATCACGTGCTCTATCTTTTTTAGAAATGTGGCGATTGTATACCTGATCATCGACGTTTCCAGCCTTATATGAGACACTAAGGTCACATTGATCTTTTTTGGGAGAATATAAACCTAAATTATTTAATGCAAACTCTTCATGAAAAGTCTTTAGGGAAAGAGCCTTAATACTTTTGTCTTTGCAATACTCAACATAACTTCTATACAATGCAGCTTTGCTTTGCCAAATTGGCTCCAAATATTTCATAGTCGATGAAACTCTACAATAGTGAGATTCCATTTTTGGCAATTCCATGAAAAATTGCCTTAATCCGATTCTGTCCGCTTCATGTCTAGTGTTGATCCTATTCCTGCTAGGGGAAATAACTTCATCATTGTTCAGATGTTCGTTGCAATCCTCACTTGAAGTTACCCAGTTATGCAAAGACCAAGTTCCCAGGTTTAAAGTATTAATAAACATAACCTGACACACTCTTACGCGAATGCCATTTTTCTTCAAATGGCATACAAATGTCTTGAAGTCTCATTGATTCGGTTTTTCATATCTTTTGGAGAAACAGTGTCTACAAGACTTGAAACGTAAATTTTCTTTTCAGGTCAGGTCATATTGTGCCAAAAATTTTTGAAAATGTGCTGCCTATCTTCATCTGTGAAAACTCTACATTGTATTTTCTTTGATTTTACCGAAATCTTACAATTACAGAAAGGTTTCAACTCACGAGGTGGTTTTGCTACATCGATGGTCCATTTTCCCTCAGGGTTTTTTCTAAACCCATCATATTTTTCTCCCTTTTGACGTTTGGTCTTACACTCCTACCTCTTCCAACTCCGTGTGTCAGCTTTTTGTTTTCTTTTTCTTTTGGGTTGCATATTTTCTTCAATGTTCTCGACTAACATTTTATTTGTTTTCTTGTTCTCCCGCACCCATTTCCTTCCTTAATTGTTCACTCATATTAAGATACTCATCTTCGCTCTCTTCATACTCACTTTCTGACCCACTCTTATCTGGTACATAATTTTGATCATTTTCACATCGCTTCTTGTTGTCCATGAAGGTGCCTGAAGGACCAGCCTCGGCAATATCAATATCATGTCGCTCTGGTTCACCTTGCACATTGTTCCTTTTATTGTCGCTATCATCACTCAGGACTTAGGAGCTTTTGCAGGATGGTAAACAATGATATTTTAAATATATTTGTATCAAAACCTTGTAAACACCAAAAATCAGACTTAGGAGGTTTTGAAAGTAAGCCGACGATATGGCAATTCCAACAAACCGATAAGGTTTGTTGAGTTATTTTTTGTTTATAGAAACGACAAAAAAAGTCAGTAGAACAATGAACATCATTGTCCAGTCAGAATATTCTCATTTAGTTTTCGGTTCAACTAGTAGAAAAGTACCACGTCAACAATCTCTAAAATGGTCAATTCTCGTCCATTGGAAGAAAAAATTGAAGCGATTTTTATTTACGGTGCGATGCGTAACTCTCACGAGACCGAAAGGATTTTCATTGAACGTTTCCCGAATCGTGCTCTATGTAGAAAATATTTGAGGGAACTTGTATCCAAATTCACAACTACTGGTAGTGTACATAACAAAAAGCCGCCAGGTCATCCGTCCTCCGCGGAAGAACAGCAAGTGCAAATAATTGGTGAGATGGTAGTAAATCCTATACAGTCTACTTATTCCATCGCGAATGTTTGTGAGGTGTCTCCTTCTACTGTGTGGAGACTTTTGAAGACAAAATTGAAATGGTACACCAATTAATTGAAGATGACCCTGATGGAAGAACAGAATTCTGCGAAATCATGATGGAAACCATTGCAAAGCATCCTATTTATCTCCACAATATTTGTTTTAGTGACGAATGTACTTTTTTTTCAAACGGCAATGTTCACAAACAAAATTGCCGTTATTGGAGTGACATCAACCCTCACGTTTTCCGGGAAACACATACCCAATATCCAGAAAAATTGACGTTTGGGCAGGAATATTGGGAAATCATATTGTAGGGCATCTACTTATTGATTAAAATTAAACAAGGAAACTGTATTTGAATATGCTGAAAACTACTGTTTACCCTCTCATCACTGAAATCGTCGAAGCGAATCCTAGTGAATTCGATATAGATATTGTATTCCAACAAGATGGAGCACCACCACATTACTCCAGACAAGTTATAAACTATTTAGATACTACTTTTCCCGGTCGTTTGATTGGCTGTCGAGGTCTTACAGAATGGCCAGCTCGCTCACCAGATTTGACACCTTTGGACTTTTTCATGGGGCTATTTGAAGCAAAAGGTGTACGAAACTGATCCTTCTTCTATATTGGATATACGGCAGAGAATAATAAATATTTGTAGAGATTTTGACGTTACTGTGTTCGAAAATGTTCGGCGTGAAATATCGGATTGGCTGTTCATATGTCAAGAAGTTCAAGGCAACCATTTCGAGCATCTTCTAAACTGACCTCAAGCTTATTACCTTATATTATGTAGTTAAATGTCAGTGTATTCTGGCAATTATTGAAAGTTCCGCCATTTTGTAGTAGTTGAAGATATTGATATTATATTCTAGGGTTGTGAAACATTTGTCAGGAGCTTCAAAAAGATGTGTCACAAGACCCCCCTCTCCATTTAATTTTTTTTTCCAAATGGCGCCCAGTCGCCATTTTGAAAGTTTTATCTGTCAATTTCACTTCAAAATAAAGTATTCACGCATTAAATTTCATTATCCTAAATTACAATTTGTTGAGTTGACACGTTCAAAAAATAAAAGGAGGGGACATTAAAAGAAAAAGCACTGTATATAAAGATGGCATTTCATGAACAATGGTTGGCAGTGGTTGAATGCTGAAACATTTGCAACGCTTCTTTATGCTTTTTTTATAATCGAAAAACATTTTTTGAAGGACTAGAATCTTCCAATAAGATCATGTCATTAGAAATTCTACTTTAAATGAGAGAATATTAAATGTCAAGTAAAACAGAATTAAAACGAACTAGAAATCAACATTCTTCGGTGAATCATCAAGATGAATAAACATCTGAAGAAGTCAGCCACTCGTAGTGGTGAAACGTTAAGATGCAGTTCCAAACTACGACGGCCTTCAAACCCGAATGAAGCTAGTAACACTGAAAATCTCAGCCGCAAAAGCCTTAACCAATTCATTCATTTTGATATTTTCCAAAAAAAGTTGATTGAATCGGCTTCGTTCAACTTCTCTATAGAACAGCAGATAATATTAAACAAATTTGAAATAAAATGAGTAATCAGTAATGAAAATGCAATTATTTCAATAGTGAACGATAGAAACTCACTTCAATTCTTCCAATTCTTCGGCTAGGGAAATGCAGGTTTCCTTAGAGCATGGTTCTTCCAGAGATTTCCTTAAGTCGTCTATTTCGTTCTCGAGTTCCATACTTCTATTCCTCAACATTTCTATTTCGCTTTCAGCCATCTTTATCATTTCTTCCTTCAATGAAGAACAACTAAATTCTTGAAAGGATGCCCTTAATGATATTTGATGAGTATCAATTAAGGACGAAAATATATAATGATTGGTTCAAGTTTCTAAACGTATAGATATAACTAATACAACTTCATGAGAAAATAAATATTTTCAAATGAAATTTCGAAATATTCATCTCTCTCAATTACCTACACAGTAGGCTCTGATAAACGCCTGTTGGAAAACAACTATTTCCCTGGCTAATACGACGGATATTGGTTATTGAATTATATCCGACAGATATTTATGCAAGAAACCTCACAGAGGTTAGTCTCGCACATGTTTCTCGTTCATCCAGAAGCAGGACCATGCTGAAATTATTCAAGTAATACAGGAAAGTTCCTACAGGAAAGATCCTGTACTGACGAGAGGTAATACTTCGAAACCGCGGTATGCGTGATCTACTTGAATAATTTCATATATCCAAAGTGGAATTAGCCAGGAGAGTAGTTGTTTTCCGACTGACATTTACCAGAGCCTACTGTGTAGGTTGGGGAGATTTATTTTCTCATACTTTTATATCTCCTTGATAGTTTTCACTTTTGATTTCTAATACAACTATTGATAGGAAGTATGTCTAGAATAACGATAGAGTTCAAATACAGAATTTTTTTTATATTTGAGAGACAACTTTCATTATATACTATAAAGTTTAGGAAATCATTGATAGACCACAACCTATTACAGGTTGATGTGAATTCCAAAATGATTTTTGCAAATTGCCAACTCGCTATCAATTTAGTTTTATTCAAGCTGTTGAATATCGAGCTCCTTTGAATATTTCACCCAGTTCAGTGTAATAAATAGGTGAAAATGTGTATCGTAGCATTTGGTGAAGGAGTGTGTTCTCTGATTTCACAAAAACACGTAAGATTTCTCATTCGCTGTAAAAATAATTTAGATTTTTTGACGGTTGCGATTTCATAAAACAATATTGAATGTTGTTAATCATCCTTTGGTAATGATTTTGGAACAAGTGATCTTCAACTTTCAGTCCAACAACAAAAAAACAATTCATCCATACTCTTTTCATTCAGGGGATACCTTTTCCAGTAAAATAGCACTTTGGGATGCAATTAGTGCCTCTTGATGTTTATTGATGTCAGACAATTGAAGAAGTGTCATTTTATTTTGCTTAACAACATTAGTTAGTTCCTCTACTAAATTTTTTAATTCTTCGCGTTCTGTTTCGTAATTTCTTTCGTTTTCTACTGCCAGTTCACACTGTTGTTGGTATTTTTTTTCGAGTGTAGCATATCTGAAAATAGAAAAGAATGAATAACCTAATTTTCAATATGCCTTGGAACTGACCGATACTTGACGAAAGTGACAAAAATCCTTTATAATGTATTTAAGTAACATTTTATTGAGAGATATTTCATGACATGTTTCACTGTACAATCGCTTCTTCTTGTTTGCTCATACTGTTGTAAATCATGCCCGAAAGAAAATAACGCCGGCCGCCACTGGTAGAAATAAACCAGGCGTGACGTGGTTAAGAACGCGCGAGTGTATACGAATCGAGAAGCAGCGAGAATAATATTACCGATTTCGACAGCACTTCCGAGAAATTTCGACAACATTCGTCCATAGATATTAGAATATCTATGGACGATGGTATCGGGACAGTCAGGTGGAAGCTACAGTGCGGTACGCGAAGTGATTTAGTAAGGCGATAGACATTCAAATAGTAGTTAAATTTTCAGTTGAAGTGTTTGTTGTATTTAAAGTGGAATAAAGTTAAGTTTGATAATTCAGTGTAGTCAATCATTGGTGAACCTACGGTGAAAAACGTAACAATACAATTTAGGATACTCCTGGAGAAGCTGTTTTATAGTGTAACACGTGTTGCCGATTTGTGAACTGTCAAGTCAGAGGACATTTGGGATTACATATCAAACTCGAATCAATTCGGCAACATTTTGGTCTCTTCGATACGGATACATGCTCTATAATCTCATACAATCATGTTTGTCAGTCAATATTAGAATTTATTCATATTATCACGTAAATACAGTTGTAACCGGCCACTTTCGCAACGTTTTTATATTGTACCATCTTTTTTCACTCTCTCAGTGAATAAAAAAGAATCTCGTAGAATATTTCTGAATATTCACGAATCACATTTCATTACCTTTAATTACGATTGAAAAAATACATTTTGATATTTTCTCTGTAAATAATTTCCGTGACAACGTTAGTTTAAAACGCCTTTTCAACTTGTTTTGTATGTTACAACATTAGATGTCAATATTTCAATTTTAATTTGAAGTTCGTTAACTTCAAGTCTGGCAAATGGATAGATTAACGAACATACATAAAATAACAGTTTTTTTTACAAATGATTTGTTACGGAGATAAAACCCGAACACAACAGGAAGTAGCTCGCCTATTTCATGATGATTTCCCTAATTTGCCGAGCATATCTCAAGGAACCATAAGCAAAATAAAGAAGCAATTTCGCGAACTTGGTCATGATGATGACATAACTGTCGTTACTGGAGAGATGTGAATCCTCATTTGGTGATGGAAACACATTCACAAACTCCACAAAAATTGAATGTCTGGGCCGGCATTCTTGGCAACCATATTGTTCATATACTTCATATGATATCATATTGTCATATTCTACATTGAAGGTAATTTCAATGGAGTAAATCTATTACAAGACTGTGTAGATCCTATGATTACACAAATTTTAGAAAATGATGACAATTTAGTAGGAAATGAAATAACATTCCAGCAGGATGGTGCAGCCCCACATTTTGATGTTCGGGTGGACGTCTTTCTGTGGGGACACCTGAAGAAGAAAGTGTACTCTACTAAGCCTACAAATCTAGAAGACCTGCGACAGAGAATTGTTCGGGAATGCCGATTGCTGACTCCGGACATGGAAAAATGTACGGAACGCTTTCAAGAGTGGACTGTATTATTGTATGGAACTAGGTGGAGGTCATTTTGAACAATTTATCCGTTTTGTTTCCACTGATATTATTTTTTGTTGATTTCCTCAATAAAATGAGCGACAGCGAATTTTCTGTTTTTTCTCAGATAAAACTTTCAACATTTAATTTCTCAATAAGGAATGAACCAATTTCGAAAAAATTACAGAGAATAAATGAGGGACAAAAGACCGTTGAAGTGATGTATCACTCGACCCCCCATGCAATTGAAAAAATAGGGGGGTAAATGCTGACCGCGGTGGGGTGAAGTTTTGGGTACGACTTTTAAAACAGAATTATTTAGTCCTCCTAGAAATAAAAATCGACGTGTTCTTCGAAATTTTCGATAACATGTCCGTTTCTGACATGTTCTCGTTGGAACGTCCTGTATTGTGATTCATATATTTGATTTTTCTTAAAAAGAAAACGATCATTATTATTATTTATCTGCAATGAACTTGAGGAGAATACTTTTAAAGATTTCGAGTTGGTTCATGCCACTACGGAAATACCAGAGTTTGAAAAGTTGTTTACATTTCTTCACAAGCAGTGTATTGCAAACTCTTCAGTTTCTCTTGTTCAATTAATGAAAAATATAGATATAATTCTCTAAAAACTCTAGTTACAAAAAATCTAACGACAACATATTGAATGCTCATTCTTTTTTTACAAATACAAATGAACCTAAGGCATGTTTTCTTCGTGAAGTAAAGTGTTGAGAAACCGCATTAATCAGTTGTGGCAAATCATAACGAAATCATAAGACAGAGTAGGTACGCCATTGAGGATGATAGTGTTCCTTGTCAGTAAAATTTCATATCGTAACTCTTTCATATAGAATATTGTTTAGCGTTCCTATACATGATATCCGTTTCAATTCCATAATAAATGATGGCAGTAAAAATTGAACGTTTATGTGAAAGTATTTGTTTCGGGAGGGCTCTTCTTCCCAGTTTGTGTCTGAAAGTAACTCAAATGCAAGATCTACATATCTTTGTGAAGAATTCATTTTGAACTTAGTTGCTTTCCTCCGGAACTTTCCCACATTTTTCGTATGAAGATGGAGTTAAAAAGCTATAGAGGCCGTTTCTTTTATCATGTGGTAACATTGCTAGATTCCAAACCGTAACAGATACGAACACGATTAAATGGGAAAAAAGGTAATTGTCATCGGGAACAATACAATGGTTGAAGAAACTTTACTGGGACTCTCGCTCTTCTCGAGTTATACGGGAAAAACTAAAAATGGCGTTTTTAGATTTTTTCGAATGGAATTGTTATTTCGGAGAATATCAAAAAATGAAAAAGGAGAATGTTATTGTATTCTATGACGATGTAATAATGAATATTCGATAAAACGTTTTGTGTCAACATGGCCACTATCAACTTTTTTTTTTAAGACGGACCTGTCTTTTTATTACAGATATTGATAAAACAAGGGTATAATTCAAAGGTATATTACATTCGATTTTTTTATAGCGTTTCATTTGCAATAAATACAATCATCAGTGACAACAATTTTAAATTACGGTCCTGTCGTTACTTCTTTTGTAAATTGTTTCTATTTTTATAATATTATTCAGACAACCCAATAAATTCGACAGGTAGGTAGCCTAACACAATTAAAATTGGATTTTTTTGTTTTGGAAGTTTTTGTATTGAGGTAATCCTTCTTTCAAGGCTTACTTTTCCCTAATCAATCAATCGTAACATTTTTATAATTCTCAATCCTGGAAGTAACGAAAATATCAGTTTTTGGTCAAAATCCGATTGTTGTATAATCTGGTATAATCAAACAGCAATTTCAATTCATCCGAATCGTCGTATTCCTACATCCAAATGTTTAGATGATTAGAAAGAAATTTGAGGGACTATGGTGCATTTGACAGAAAGAAAACAAGAAGAGGTGTGGTTACTGGAAGTGTGAGGAATCCAATAAATGTTATGGGTAAGCAAATATTACCACATAAAAATTTACACAGTGAAAATATTTTTTTTTTAAATTTAGGATTGACCAGTTACAAAAATTATGCTAATCAAGATTGTTTATTACGAGAAATTGCCCACGAAATGAATATTTCTGTAAGATCCGCCAAAACTATTTTAGAAAAGAACAAATATAAATGCTACAGGATACGCAAAGCTCATCACCTCAATGAAAGGGATTACGGAAGGAGTCTACGATTTGCGAAGTGGTTAAGACGTAGAAATAGGGAAGATGGAGGAAATATTTCTAAATAAATAATATGGACGAACGAATCAAAATTCACCAACAATGGTTGCTTTAACAGAAATATCCATTAGGTGGAATAATACACATGAACATTTACATAGGGAAACCAATTTCCAAGATAGGTTCGGAATAAATGTTTAGTTGGGAATTGTGGGAACAAACATCCTTGGCCCTTTCTTTTACGATGATCATTCGAATAGTGAAACATATCTTCACTTTCTCTTCAATGAATTCGATGCTGGCTACTTAGATGAGTTGCCACCGAATATCCGCCATGAAATACAATATTTTCAACAGAACGGCGCTCCTCCCCATAATGCAGCAATTGTAAGGGAACATTTAGATTCAATATTCCCAAGAAAATGAATTAGAAACAATGGACCAATTAACTGGCCAGCTCGATCTCCAGACCTTCCTCCTTCAGTTTTATTTATTTGAGTATACATAAAGGATAAAATTTTTACAACACCAAGTACAGATATTGACTATCTCAAACAAAAAATAAGAGATGCATGTATTAGTATTACACCTATTATGCAAGGAAACTGCCACAGAAATTGACGCCATTTCGATTGCTATGTAGCTTTGATTTGCCGTATTGGTTTCATTTTTCCCAGAAGTTAATATTAAATAAATTGTTTTTCTGTTTGATTGTTGTCCCTGATGATGGTGGTTATTTCAAATGGAACACTATAAAAATATCAAATGTGATATGCCCTTGGATTGTGAATTTATCGCTTCAACAATATCTGTAATAAAAAAGACAGGTCCATATTAAAAAAAAGATGGTGGCCATGTTGATACGAAACGTTTTATCGAGTATTCATTATTACATCATCATAGTACACTCCGAATACAATTACATTTTTCTTTTCCATTTTTTGATATTCTCCGAAATAAAAATTCCCTTTAAAAAAAACATCATTTTTGGTTTTCACCGTATAACTCGATAAGGGCGAGAGTACCCGTAAATTTTCTTCGACCATTGTATTGTTCCCGATGACAGTTACCTTTTTTACCATTCAATCGTCTTCGTATCTATTTTACGGTTCAGAATGCAGCAATGTTACCACCTGATAAAAGAAACGGCCTGTATAGTTAAGAATCTTCATAGACAGAATACGTCATTACACTAGAAATCTGGTCAGGTGAGGTTAAGCAATGAAACATCAAAATGACCTGATCACCGTCGTTGAGCGGAAGACTGAACTCTCTAACCTTTCTAGTTTGACGGAGGAGAAGATGGCAGAAAGACAAACGGTATGTTGAGAGGTGGATGACGCCTCAGCACTTAACAGGAAATATATTTAAAGATATTGAAGTCACTCGTGGAATAGCTAGACAATGTCAACAGAATTTGCAGAGGCAAGGAGCGGGTGGGATAAATTACAATGAGCCTTTTTCCTGAGAATAGTACAGCGAACGTGTCACGAGAGGCAGCACTTGTAGTAGGGACAAACATAAACTATTCACATGTAAAACAGTGTTATTTTCGTAATATTAATTTATTATTTAAAAATATGAATCTGATATAAAAAACTATTTTGTGCTAGTATAATGCCAACAGGGCATTGCTGTTTTGCGAATCGATATGCGGAAGAAAACGTGTTTTTTATACCACTTATAAAAGCTCATATTAATGAGGTTAGATGTAAGAAATGAATGCATGCTTCGAGGAGAGTGGATTCAACAGTGCAAAAAGTAAAGAAATATTCATATGTATGCTCTAAACATAAAATGAATAGTACATTTTTCATAGTTGATTGCCATTGATTAGAATGATATATAACCTCAATCGTTTATTAAATTATATTCATTTATTATATTTCATTAAACTTGTTCCATTACCATCTATATTTGATTCATATTTCACTTGTAAATAAATCTGAAATTCATAATTATTTTAAATTTCTTTCATTACAGTTTGAATCTACCGCTACTCTTTTACACTATAGAGTCTGTATACTAACCTGTCTATTAATTCACTTTTTTTCCAGTTACTTTTAAATTACGGCTTGCAAGCTAACGTTTTAATGTTACCACATTGTTATCCTTCACAGTTGCAAATTTTAGTTCTGCTCCAGGAACATATTCTTCTGTTAAAACATCCTTTTTTAATTGTACTTTACCATATGAGGATTAGGCAGTGTTTGTCCCTACCGAACTGCTAGCGCTGCTAGTGACTAATTTCACTTTTTGGATTTATTTCAATTTTAACAACAAGGTACAGGTAACACGTTTCGAATAGTTTTCAGTAATATTCATCACAACTAAGAAAGTTGACCTTTTACCACTTACAGAATTGATACGGTTTACATCCACAGTTCAGAATTCATATCGGGTATTGCCAACTTGACATGATTGAAGATTTGATTTTTGTTTCCAGTAAATGAGTTTTGTACATTTCCGAGAAAACATTTTATATCATTATGAAATTGTTAATAGTATGTCGACAAAATGCCTCATTGTAGGTAGTGATTGTGGATATTTGCAATACAAATCTAGCGATTGTGTCATGTTGCAATTCCCAAACTTGAGTAACAATATACTATTTACACATACGTTATCTTTCTCTTACTCTAGTTAATACCATGTTTTTAGTATGTTTCATCGACTCACTTTATTGCATATTTTTCATATTCCAAAATTTTTGCCTGCAACTCATTGCACTGATTTTGCAATTGTTCAAACGACGACTTTTGAGCATTAACGACTTCCATCTGAGAAGATAATTCTGTTATTTTTTCCTTTAAAATCTTTTCTTTTCCTTCTTGCTCTTTTATCCGATTTGTGTATTTCTCTTTTTGTTTTCTTGATTTCGCTTCCATTTCTGAACAAGTTTTGCATTCAAAGTCTGCTATTTGCTGAAAAAAACAAAAATACACAAGTCTGTGACGACTGTGGAAGACTATAGTTACGAGAAAAATATTTCGAACCGTATTTTGAGTTGAAGAAATGGTGATAGTTAGTATTGTGAGATAAGTCGAAATTTAGAGTTAGTATATCACAATGAATTCTTATGCTTCGGAAATGTGAAGAAATTTCAAAATTTTTTCCATTCAATTGAGGATTTGTCAAATTGGAAAAAATGTTTGTTATGAAATATTGATTTCTTCATTGTAACAAAGAAAATATTCGTTTGTTTGAAGGTGATTGACAATGTTTCGTGATGAATTTCACTAGTTCGGACTTCCATTGTCTATTATATAAAATGATTTGAAATCCCTGAAACAAGTAAAAAAGATTAATTAAAAAAGAATAGTTGAAAATATTTCATTTCAGGTTTATTGTTGCTTAATATAATTGTTATTTTCAACTATTCTTTTTTAATTAATCTTTTTTACTTGTTTCAGGGATTTCAAATCATTTTATATAATAGACAATGGAAGTCCGAACTAGTGAAAAAAGAAAATATTCGATCAATTCGTCTTCTGCGCCGTCGAACAAGATTAGTCCTCTGTCTTCAACAGCAACTTTCACTACAAGGCAACTAGTTGAAACCGGAGCCCAAGAGTGAAGCATTCGTAATGAGTGACACAAGGTCAAATCACCAATGCATGCATTGCCGAATAGAAGTGTCCCTAAAGGACAAACCTGCGTAAGTAGATGTCTTGACATCTCCATTCATGAAGATGAAATCTATGAGATCGACCGAAGAGCCAATCCACGATTCCAAAGGACAACAGGTTCCCCCAAGGTGGTCGGTTGCAAATACAAGTTTTGATATCAACCGTCGAAAGAAACTCGTCCTCTGTTTTCTACAGTAGCTACTACTGTAAGGTAACTAATGAAATCAGAGCTCGAAATCAAAGCATTCGCTACCCAACACTAGACAGTAGTGTTTCGACCTATCAAAGGTTTCATCATTGGTGCTAGGATGAATCACAAATGAATTGCTGATTTAAAATGTCCCTGTAGGGAAAGCCTGCGTAAGTGGAGGCCATTACATCTCCATCTATGGGATTGGCAGAAGACTCAATCCACGATTTTGAAGGATAACAGGCCCCCAAGGCGGTCAGTTACAAATACAAGTTTTGACATCTACCGTCGAAAGAGACTCGTCCTCTGTTTTTCACAGTAGCTTCTTCTGTGAGGTAACTAGTAACACCAAAGTTCGAAATTGAAGCATTCGGGATCCACCATCCTACAGTTATATTTCGATCTACCAAAGTTTTCATTTTTGGTGCTAGGTTGAGAAATGCATTGCTGTAAGGTAACCAGTGACATCAAAGCTCGAAATCAAAGCATTCGCTATCCAACGCCAGACAATACTGTTTTGATTTATTAAAGGTTTCATCATTGAGGCTAGGTTGAGCAACAAATGCATTGCTGGATTCAACTGACCTTTAAGAATAAGTCTAAGTAGGTAGAGGTAATGACACTTCTACTTACTTAGACGGCATCTACGAGATCGACAGAATACTACAAATATCAAAGATGAACCAGGCGCCCGAAGGCGGCTAGTTGTGAAGCCAAGCGTCGACATCGACGCTTTTATTTCGATATTCGTGGATTAGGTCTTCTATCGATCCCGTAGATGGCGTTTTCCTGAAGGGACATGTCATCGCCTCTACTCCCTTAGTCTTGTCCTTTAATTGTTTCATCTCGGGTTCATTAAAAAAAGTGAATTTGATGATTGGAACAGAAATCCGGTACATGGACTATTGAGACTAGTATCCTTAATTAGATGGAATTCAGCAATTCTCAGTGGGAAAGATTGTCAAGCACTAGTTGAAGTTCAACCCTGCAAAATCAAATCAATAATTGGAATCATTTTCAATATTAACGGAAATATTATTATTCCCTATGATTAGCCTAATCCAACCGAAAACACCTTTTTCCAAATTCATATGTTGGAAAGTGCGCTTTTAGCTGCAATGCTCAGGTGCAATGACTTATTTTTCGTGGAATCAATTGTCCAAACACTGTCTCTGAGAAGAAAATTCAGCCCGAAGTTACGACCTCTAGAGGGTGGTACCGCAGCCTCATGTCACCGCTATTGAAATAGCCTGGTAATCCCAAAAGTTCTTCACCTCGGGGCAGGAATATTTCGGAAGATGAGGAACAGGTAATTTTTCTTCATTTATTCAATATCAAAAACATTGCTGCTATACGATGGTTCTTCTCAAAGAACGTTTCGATTTTGTTCTGAGGAACAGTTAAAATTTTTTGATATATCCTCTACACAACCAAATGCTTCCAATTGATTCCAGAGCTGGCCGGATATAACTCCATTCTCAAAAATATGCCAATATAAAATGAATAACGTATTGTTTTCCATCATATATAAAGAAATGTATTAGTTTACTGATAATGAAAGTTAAAAAAAATCAACTTTCACTATCTCAAATAACAATAAGAAACAAATTGCCTTCCACTGAATAACAATTGCCTACTTTAATGACGACGGGCTCTGAATGGGCTCTCAATGGGGTGTTTCATGAACAAACTATTCACTTTTTAGGAACTTCTTGGTCCTTCACTCAACTGAGCGACGGGGCCTTCTGAATCGGGGGGGGGGGCGTCGTCTATCATAATCATAATCTAGCATGATATACGGCTTCCCTAACTAATGGATTTTCATGAGTTTCCGCTCACTCGGATGGACTGCTGTAACTATGGTCAACAGCTTCAAATCTCTGCGGATGGCTTCATTCCGCACGAACCATGAAGCATTTACCAGTATCCGTACTATCTCATTTTTAAATCTTTCCAAAATTCGAAGATTAGTCGAGGCGGTTTGTCCCCAATCGTCTGAAGCCATACATGATGACAGGCCTGAACATCGTGTTGTACAGTAAAATTTTGTTCTTGAGATTGAGCCTCGAATTTATGTTGATAAGAGGATATGTGTACCTATTCTTATTTGAATTTCGCTCTTGGTGGATTCGACGTGGTGCTTCCAGGTGAGACCACGGTGTATCGTAAGACCCAGGTTCTTGACTCGAGACTTCCATTGGATCTTTTTGTCTTGTCTTGTCAATCTATTGCCTGGGTTTTGCCTGGATTCACTCGTATCTTCCAGTCAAGGTACCAGTTCGAGATCGGCCAATGCACGTGGCATGTAGACGACCCCAGCTCACGACCCATGGAAACGGCAAGGACAGCCGTTTCATCGGCATTAAGGGAAACATTCACGAGGTCAAACCTGGTGAGGTCGCTCACGTAGACGCTTTAAAGTGGTGGAGACAGACAAGCTTCCTAAGGCACTCCACTGTGGATTTCCCTGGGTAGGGTTCTTTCAACTCGGACTCTGCCTTTCAGAAAGGACTTAATCCACCGGACCAGGCCCCGAAGCAGGTCAGAAACGAGGATTTTGGGTAAATGGCTTTCGTGTTGAACACGGTGGAAGGGCTTTGAAATATCAAGGAAGAGAAGGGCCTGCAGTTGGGTGCAGAATATTTTGGTTGTCAACTTCTTCTGTTAGTTTTGCAGCACAACACTTTCAACCAGCACAGCATACCCATCGGTAGGTGATTTTGGTGAAAGAGCGGGTTCTGGCGCTGCTTTGGGATCATGGTGACCACGGCGTGCGTCCATCTTCGAGGGAAGTACCTGAGGGCGATCGAACTGTTGATTATGTTCAACAGGTATCAAATAATAATCTCAGGGCGCTGCTTCAATAACCTGTTGTTGATTGAATCAGATCCCGTAGCCTTGATTTCGTTCAATTTATATCTCCGTTCTGAGCGCTCATTGGCGGAGATGGTAAAAGCCGACTAATCGCGATGTTTACAGTTTTATTTTATTTTTGCATGAAATTAAATTAAATATTATCTTTTATGCGATTGAATGTATATTTCCAATATAAGGACAATTGAGATTTTGGTCTCTGATTCCAGATTTTCAGGTAATAACTAGAACTACTCTTAAAAATTCACGACGTGCCTATATTTCAGATTTTGACGTTATAGATGTCACTCTAAATTTTATACATTATTATGAATAGCAAATCATGAGCATATGTTAATTATTTGGAATCTCAAAAATATTTTGTTTGATGTGACGGGAACTTGTATCAAGGTTTACAGTTACAACTGCTCAAACAAATATTTTGAGAACCATACATTTTTTCACTTAATAATTTCATTCTGAAATGCATCTGAATACATTTTTCGTGATATAGAGCTAACAAAAAACTACAAAGTGTTTTACCTGCTCCAGCTTTTTAACCTCTTCTCTGTACTGTTCAGTTTCCGTTAGTGAATTATTGAGTTGTTTTTCCAAGACTTTAATCGCTTCAGCAAAATATTTATTGCTGTCTGATAAAGTGGAGTACTGTTCATTATTTTCCTGGAAGAGCCCTTGCATATTTTCGAGAGCTTTACTCAATTCGTTATATTTGTTTTCTTTTTCCTCAATCGTCCGAAGGAAAGTTTCGTTGTTCTTTTTGAGTTCTTTTATAACATTTTCCTTCTGGTTGATGCATTTGCAAAACTTGTCTTTACTTTGCTTCATGACTTTGGAAGACTGAATAGCTTGTTCGTGCAGTAGAATAACTTTTTTTTCATAGTCACCCAAAATATCCTTGGCTCTTTCAACATCTCTCACTGAAGCTAAGTACATTTTTTTCTTCTGCTCTAACTCTTTTTTCAATTGCTTGTTCTCGGCTTTCAGTTGAGAGATTTGTTTTTCAGGTTCTCCCTTGCCACCCACTTTGAACTTATCAGAATTAGATGTAGATATTTGCTCCAGCTGGCTTTTTACCTTCTCGATTTCATCTTTCAGACCGATTACCACCGATTCTGGACAAAAGTTCTGCTTAGCATCCTGAAACAAAATTATTGTGAGTTTAGGGAATGAATATTTTGAAAAATCTAATGACTTCTCATTTACTTGAGAATAGATAGGCGAATTTGACACTTCCATTGTACTTAGGGATTTTATGGAACAACCTTTTATGGGTTGATTTGAGATATGAGAGCATGTTCGATCGGGACAACTGTTAACCTTTTCAACATTCAATCCTATTGACTCTATATTAACAGGATATGGGGCATCTCCTATAAAATATCAATATGAGGTTTCGTTTCTCATTTTCCCAAAATAATTACCAGTATCCTTACAGATATGATTAGTGGATGTTTTGAGCGTCGTGGACCATTGTTGACATGGAAAACTTACGGATTTTTTTTTGGTTGCGCCCTTAATTGGACTTTTACTTCTTGTTCTACCTTTGGCGCTATAACGGAATATATATTTTACACGCGCAGTAAAGTAGAAATAATATTACCTAATAGTTCTTTTATTTTCTAAACCGTAGTTATTCGGAGTAGCACATATTTGGAGACTCTGATGTTGAGGACAAGGAAAATTCCTGTCAAAATTTGCCGCACTGTGAATAGCACACATCACACCATTGATATGCTCGTTCATATTGTGTTGTTCGTCGAATCCTTGATATCGTTTATTATTTTGGATTATTTTATATCCCTTAAAAAACGTGAAATAAAAAATGAAATTCTTCAAATATTATTCTAATTTATGTTTACCTTCGACATATTGTTGAGGAGAAATACGGTAAATTTTGAAAACACTCACATTTCACTACTATCAATTTTGACGTTACATTGACATTTTTGCAATTTCATTCGACTTCTCTGTATTTCTTGTCAAACAAGAATTCTTGAATTCAACGATAAATACATCAATTGATCCGATGGATTCATATATTGGTTCTGTTGAATTTGACAACTTGCTTTTTGTTACTGTTGTGGAATTGATTGAGTTTGATATGTATCGTCAAAGGTTTTTGTCTTATAGTCACAAGTTGAAAATGGTGGAAAATATAGATTCTGGTCGAAAAAACACGTGCGATGGCTCATTCGATCTAGAATTATATCTAAAAAAATGTGCTGAAACCGTTTTTCAGTATATGAAAAATTTCAAAAGTTATAAACAGATTAAGATGTATTTAGGTTTTTGCACATATTTCAAAAACTATAAAGAATTGAGAAATTTAAAAATGAAATCCCCAAAAAGGAAAGAAAGTTACAAAAAAAGTTCCACCTCCTGAAACTCCGTCTCTATTATTTATAATTTTAATTTAACTCCGAAAATAAGCCTCCACGGGTGAATTTAAGGATGCGGGAGCGCATTATACTTTTTTTATAATAACAAAAAAAATAATCGACGTATTGTCATCTTTTTTTATATTTATTGTCATACCAGTGAGTCGTTCTGGCTCTGCACGGGTGCAATGCTGTTACAAACTTAGGATAGGCGATTGGTTACCTCGTTCACAGGCAGATGGGGGCGATGACAAACATGTTGTTTGTTGTCTGATTTAGCTTACATCGAGGAATTATACTCTGAAGGAATTCGATTTTCAATTAATTTAAATCATCGAGTTTATGTTGATGGCAGACATTACCTTGCACTGACGAGTGGCCAAACAGCCCGGAACCGGTCTGCAAGTATCTTCCAATAATCGAAAATCTATTGCGGCAGTTGTATCGCCAACAGCATACGCAGGAATAACTTCAGTGAATAATCCTGCACTGACACAACCTGTCGGATATAATCCAACGCCCTTCATGGTATTAACCAGGGGAGTAGTTATTTTCTAATAGGTATCAGTCCATTAACCTACACTGTAGGGAGTTGAGACTGTCCTGAACGAATTGTTCTTTCAGATGATTTGATTTATAGCCAGTTTTCAAGTATGCCCACTGACTATATATGAAAAGTGATCTATACCTATACCAATAGCACACAACATCCTCTCCGTGGACTATACATAAATGTACGTCCCGCGGATGTCAAATATTGGACATTGATAGGACGTACGCCACGAATGTCCATTTTTTGTCCAATTTATGTTCAATGTAAAAATGAGGCCCGGCAAAGGACGTTTTAAAACCGTTCTTGATGGACATGATAGAGACTAATTATAGAATAACAAAACACAAAACACATATCTCGGAATTTTTTATCAACTGTCATCATTTAATGTTTTTCTATCTGTTTTTGAACCTTTTTATATTTTATTCTCACGTTAGTAGGTAATAATCATTTTATGAATTTATGAAACATATTTTATTGTTGCATTTATATTGTTCCCCTTTGATATTCCAAATGAACTTCAGAATGATATCCACGGTAAAAATCCAAATTATATTTCAAATATAACTTTTTACGTCCCACGGACGTCCATTGAACGTCAACTGAACTAAAAATATAGTCCTAATATGAACCATTCTATTCCAATATATGTCCATGAAGGACGTATAGATAATGTCCATGGCGGACGTTCAGATAATGTTCAACATCAGGACATTTGTACGTCCCAAGAATGTCTATAGAACGTCCATTATACCAGTACTGTACATCCTAGCGAAGTACTGAATGTCCGGAGAGGACGTCGCAATAGGTAACGTCCATGGGACTAAGTTGTGCTTTTAGGGTATTAAATGCACAATGTATTTTAGGTACTTAATTGGATAAGGATAAACGCTTCACATCTTCTTTTTTTCTGTTGAAATTATCCGTGTGTTTGTGGATTTCTATTGCCTCCCGTACCAATCGGCTATGGTCGGGGGCAATGAGGTCCATGTTTTCAAACAGAATCCTGTGCGTGTTCTGCCACAGCTGACTTATCCGATTGGCCTAGTCTGCTTGTTCCCTGGGAGCTTGTTCAATAGAACAGCTGCGCGCAAAAAAAAACTTCAAGAATCCATGGCCTTCAAACCCGGAAAATAGTGACAGTGAAAACCTCTTCCGTAAAAGCCTTAACCATTTTGTCATATTATGCATGTTATATTACATATTCCTCTTATACAGTGTGTTACAACGAAAACTCAACAGAGCCGTTTTTGAATATAAAAAGTAAGATATTTAAAAAAAGCTTGGACACGTCGATTTCTAATTGAAGGGGGACACCTTTCAGACTAATCAGATTTTTTGTAGTAAGCACCCCCTCGGAGGGGTGCGTACGACGACCCTTATTTAGATAGGGAAAGTAGGTCGAGTGTCACCTTGTTTTAAAGGTCTTTCGAATACCTTTACATCTCTGTTAAAAGAAAATTTTTGTAACGATTAGTTTTCGAGATAATTTGAAGATTTGAAGGTATTTTTATTGAGTTCAACTCTTTTTAAAATAAATCAAATTGTTTTCAAGGTACAATTTACGTTCAGAACTTTCATTAAAAAAAACTTTTTTTTGCTTTTATTGACAACCAGCTAATACGTGTCCATTTGATTTCGTAAAAAAGTAAGAATTATCACGAGGAGATTTTTTCGGGGCATGGGGTTGGTTACCACCCTTACATTTTAGGTAAATTTTAGGTAATTATGAAGGTTGCCTTTTGACGTGGATATTTTATGCTTTTGATAAAAAAGTGAATCATACTAAAAACTTACCTACACAACGAATACAACTTGCTGATATTCTTGAATGCTGATGACACAGAAAAGTTTACAAAACTGTTTTAGGGTTAATAAATCCCAATAATTGTTTCTAAAGCACACACAAAAAAAGTAACACCTAATAAGGGTAACTCACATAGGAAATTAAGAGTAAATGTTCAAAATGTGTGCCATTTTGCTCCATGCAACAATAAAGATTTTGTTCGAATTTTGCTCTTACATTATTCAACATCTCAGGAGTTATAGCTCGGCATTCATCAATAATTCTACGACGTAATTCATCCAAATTGGCTGGCTGTGTAGCATAAACTTTAGACTTTAAAAATCCCCACAAAAAGTAGTCCAGTGGTGTTAAATCTGGTTATCGTGCTGGCCATTCAATTGGACCTCTTCTGCCAATCCATTGTCCTTCAAAATCATTATTCAACAAATTTCGAACCTGCTGGGCATAATGGGGTGATGCACCGTCTTGTTGAAAATGGATAAATTCATCTTGACATCTTGGATCCGGTTCAATTATTTCAACTATACGAGGTTGTATTGCCTCTTCAAGAAGTTGTAAATAAGAATCACCGGTTAAATTTCCATCAATGAAAAATTGACCTATAATATGATTGCCTAATCTTCCGGCCCAGACATTCAACTTTTGGGGATGTTGGGTATGTATTTCTACGTATTGTCTTGGGTTTTCATCCGACCAATAACGGCAATTGTGACGGTTCACGCAACCATTTAAATAAAATGAGCTTTCGCCCGAAAAACAGATATTATAAATCACCTCGGGATTTTGCATTAATTTCTCACTCATGCCCTCACAAAACTCCTGTCTTCGGTCAAAATCATCCTCATTGAGGCATGAACAAGTTTAATTTTGTAAGGATGGAATTTGTGGTTTTTAAGGATTCTCCATGCGCTCATATGGCTTATTCCGGCCATTGCTGATAAACCTCGGGTACCTTAACTGGGATTGGCGATGACTTGATCAATCACTCCAATCGCATTATCGTCATCCATTATCCTTCTCTGAACATGTTTTTTCTTATTCAAAACCGAACCTGTCTCCCTGAATTTTGTGACCAAATCCAGAACGTGATTTCTGCTTAGGTGTTTACCAGGGTTTTGCTCGTTAAATAAAATTGATGTTCCATTAGCATTTTTTTCGTTGCCAAAAAATAAAGCAATAACTGAAACCCTTTCAGCAGTAAGGCATTTTTAAACAAATAACAATACACGACAAATAACAAAACAATCGAACGATGTACTAATGAAAACTGGAAGAAGAGGACTGGGTATTGATTTTCAAAAAGGGATTTCATTTAACAAAAAAAAAACTGATAAGAAGAACTGCTCGAAAAATTTTTTATTTAGGTATACAAGTTACCGAGTGGTCTGTCTAATTTATTATTAACATGGCAATTTTAACTTCAAATTATCTCGAAAACTAATCGTTACATAAATTTTCTTTCAACAGAGTTGTAAAGGTATTCGAAAGACCTTTAAAACAAGGTGCCACTCGACCTACTTTCCCTATCTAAATAAGGGTTGTCGGACGCACCCCTCCGAGGGGGAGCGTACTACAAAAAATTTGATAAGTCTGAAAGGTGTCCCCCTTTAATTAGAAATCGACGTGTCCGAGCTTTTTTTAAAAATCTTAATTTTCATAGTCAAAAACAAACGGCTCTGTTAAGTTGTCGTTGTTACACACTGTATACATATAACATTAAAAAAAACCCACATCAAATTTCGTTGCGTAGTTTTGAAGATCTAAGTATACATAGGGGTAGACAGCGTGGAAAGCGACTTTGTTTAATTATTAAACGGTTTTATTTAGCTCGATCTGTTTGTTTGTCCATTTATTTATTTGGGTCAAATTTAACTATATCTCATTGAAATATATGAAGAAATAATCATTTTCAAATCATTTAGATGATATTTATGTAAACATTTTAAATGGGACACATGCAGTGTTGAAAATTTAATGAAATGAACTGACGAATATTTCAACTATAGGTAGCGTATTTTAATTTAAAAAAACCGATTTTTTTCTTGAAACTTGACCGATATATTTCAATTAGGCCCGTATATATGTTGTTATCTACGTGGCAAAATAACCAGTTCTTATATAATATACCATTCATGATACATATAAAATTTTGTTACTAGTCTTCATAAAAGCAAATATTTTCATTTGCTAATAGGTTCCTTCATCTAAAGTAGGTATACTATGTATTCAA